TAGCAGTAGGCCTGTAGTTTAAATTCCTTAACCCAACACTCTACTAGGATAATCAGTAACAGATATCTTCTATCTCTATTCCTACGATTCTTCAGTAGGAAAACCTTCAGTTATTCCCCGTAACCAGCGGAATAAGTAGTCAGGATTGTAGTACGCGTTAAGAGACTAGACTAACTCGTACGTTAATTACAAGCCACCCTGACACTGGTCTTCTATTATCTGTCGCTCTTTAGTAAACTACAAGTTGTATGAAGTGTCTCTTGTTCTATCTATGTAATCTCGATTTATGCGTATAAACCCCTTTATGTTATGCTATGACTTATGCTATGAACACTATTTTCAAGACTAATGATATGATATGATATGTTTAAGCTATCCATGCGTTCAGCTCCCTCAGCTCACGATCCAAAGTGGGAGTCTTTTTTGAGTCTGTCAAGAGCAGTAAAGCGAGCCTCTCAAAATGGTCACGGTAGGTAAAGTAAGTAAAGTTTAGGTTGCCCGTTTTTTATCTTTTGTAGAATTACACTTGCCTGTTTTTTCCCTTTTTATTGAAAATCGGGCTGCAATATGGGTGTAGCCCGGTGTCCGGCCCCGAAATGGGGCTACGGATACTGATCCGCGGGCTCAAAATAGTGGAATCCTTTAAAAAACTTGTCCGTTTTTTAAAAAGTTTCACAAAATATTTCTGACTTGAAACCCCCTATTTGCGGCCTTTTCTTAAAAAATCGGGCAAAGTTTTCTAAGGTACCGTGCTGTAAAACCTTTTTCCAATTCGTAAAAAAGGACCGTAAAAATTTCTTTCGGATCTCCCTCAAAAAAATTTGGGATGTTGTAAAACTTTTCCCAACTCATAAAATTTTGTGTAAGTTTTATGAAGTTGGGAAAAGTTTTTTACGGGAAATGTAGTGAATCGCGCACAAAGAACCTCAAAGGTCTCAATTTTTCTCAGTTCCCCTTTGTCTCCCTAATTTTTGTTTTCATTGACATCATACTAAGTTCTCCTTTTCATTAGTTTGTAAGGGACAAGTACGGAAGCCGTGACGTGAAGTGACCGCCACGGTTTTTTCAAAACTTCGGTTTTGGGTTTTCGGTTTTCGGATTTTCGACTTTTCAGTCCTTTTGATTTCCAAACATGCATTTGCCTCAAGCCCCTGCATTAATAAGACTACTATGTTGACCTTAGCAAAGACACTGTCATTTTTGCAGTCTAAAAGTGCCCCTTGCCTCGCACATTTCTGAGAAGTCTATGATGATGACCTCATTTCTATTGTTGACGATTCCCACAAACAACTTGTTCGATTTCAACCTTCAAAAATTCCCGGCCAGTCATCAAGACCAACAATCACCCGCAGATTTCACTTGATCAATTCAAAGACGATGGCAAAGTGCTTCTTTTTCGAGAGCAACAAGTCCATGATGATGACATCCTGACATCCTGGTAAATGTTCAATCTCATCAACTCCGTTGGTGATCAAGTCTACACAAAAACTATTCATATCAGTGGGAACGTGTCCAGCTGGTTAGGCAGTGGGAGTTAACCCAGAATTGATCGGGTTGTTGACGTTCAACGGTGAAATTATTGAATTCATTTTTTACGCGGTGAAAAATGTTGCTTTTCTTCCTCTCGAGGTTATTCGGATCCAAACCTTGAACCTACAAGATTGAGACTAATCATGTATAATAGTTTGATGATAGATTATTTGAAAGTTTTACCTCGCTTTTTTGCCTTTCCCAATCGCTTGTTTTCATGTTTATTGCAATGTCATTAAACATCTTGAGTCGGTGTATCCTGTTAAGAGTCTTGCAACTGACAAGATCTTCCTATGTTTGCTTGAATGGTTTGTGTCAGTATGGTTCCAAATACTCATTTCTGCAAATACTTCTTTCTGATCTTCTTGGTGAAGATCAACAGTCTCATGGTCCTTATTGTCAAGATGAAGAGCTCAAAGAGTATGTTGATTACATTGTATTACAAAACGACAAATTCACAACTTGGTTACATAGATTGTGGTATACACGAGGCTAGAGAGCTCTGATAAAGCATTCTCAAGTGATAACAGCTCATCCTATGCTTTTTTTACTAATGAATGTTTAAGTCAACAGATATACCGAAGGTGCTTAAGAAGTGAAAATGCACCTCCCATCTTTTACAATCAATATGAAGATCAACGCCATGGTTCAGTTTCTCATTTGGTCTAAAAGAGAATGGAAACTGAACTCATCTGTGGAGGTTGTGGATGAGTTTGAGATATTGAAAGCCAGCAGACTACAGATTTGAAGGAAGCCTTTCAGCCGAGGTGGTGCTTGATGGCGTCAATAGTGTTCAAGATTATCGATTGAGTCTTCCAATGAGCCGAAACAAAGTTGATTTTTGAGGCGATTGAAAACGAGTGCAGTGTGGAGAGTTTGACTGAGGGAGAGGGAACTGGATTAAAGGATGATGAACTTTGAAGTGGTGAGCTTTTGAGCAGTGGTGTTGTGTATGTGTTCAAGAGGGTTGGCGGACCCAACGCTCAGCCTCAGGGCTTCCGTAGGAGATTGGAAATTCAAAAAGACTGAAAAGTCGAAAATCTGAAAACCGAAAACCGAAAACCGAAGTTTTGAAAAAACCGTGGCGGTCACTTCACGTCACGGCTTCCGTAGACAAGGCATAAGGTCACCAGATTTGCTTATGAACCATTCCATCCATTGATATTGATTATGAACTAGTCACTTTAAAATCATTAGCGGTGTACAAACCTACAACCCAACATGAAAACCCATGAAAAAAACCCATGAAAACCCGACTTCTTTATGGGTTTTTTTCATGGGTTTTTTGACATGGGTTGAAATCGGCTAGATCTGACCACCCGTTTGTTGAAAAAAAAGTTGAGCTTGATATAGACTCAACCTGACTCAACCAACCCCTCCCCTTCATTACCAACTCACCCAAAATACCCCAAATCCTTCCATAAAACAAATACATCCTGCTTGTCTACCTGATGTATTCCGATTTTGAAGTTTCTCTCTCTTCGGTTTGTTTCGATATTTGCAATGCGAAGAATTCAAAAGCAATCGTTTTATTTTAAAAAAGCATAGTTGATCGTTCTATTCCGAACGAAAACTGATCTGAGTCGCCTTTCAAAACTTTGAGATGGGACTTTGGAAACCAAGACATTGTTTCAATTAAAAAAACTTATTGTTTCAATTCAAAAAGAACATGTCTCAGTTGACTTCGAAGACTTTGAGAGGATACCTCTAAAGCTAAGATATTGTTTTCAGTCGAATTCAAACGAGATCGTTTTATTTCAAAAAAAGCACAAGAAGTTGTTTTATTTCAAACAAAAAGAGATGAGACTTTTGACTTTTAAAAACAAAATTCGAAGTTGGAAGAAAACTGGGGCTAGGATGGATTCATGGTTGATCAGGTGGATGCCAAAAGAGAGATGTAGAGTAAAGTTAAGGCCCCAAGTGATGGCTACAAAAGCTGCGTGTGGCCTGTGACTCTTTAGGTTGTGATGGGAGTTGGGGCGTTCAAACCTTTTCAGGGCGACCCATGAAAAAAACCCATGAGAAAAACCCATAAAGAAGTTGGGTTTTCATGGGTTTTTTTCATGGGTTTTCATGTTGGGTTGTAGGTTTGTACACCGCTATGTTTTCATGTTTCTTATTCTTGATCAAATACTCATCATCCTCATGCTCGATTATGAAGAAGTCAAACCCCCTGTGTTAGTTAAGCTTAGTATTGTCTTATTGAGAGCAGTTTATGATCACAGCGTGGAGACATCAATTCCGATCCTTGCAGACGTCGGATGCAGGAGCATACGCTCTGCTGCGTCACATCATCCTCATGCTTGATCATTCCTCGGAAGTCGCAATCCATTCGCTCCCAAAAAGATCCCAATACTTCGGTATCGTAGCTTTAGCAGCTTGCTATCCCCGCTTTCCGCTATCAATGTCCCCCAGGCGAGTTTTATCTCCGCCCGCGCCTACACAGGCCTACACACGTCGGCATGCGTATGTATATATGCGTCACGACGAGGTTCGCATCTTCGGAAACCGCAGTTGCTTCAGCCAAACCTCGGTATAACGCTTAAGCTGCAAACCGAAGCAAGACGACTGGCTCATCATAAAACCTGGAATACCGGTCTCCCATCGTCATATCTACCGGATCCTAAGAGCCGACTTGACCCATGAGCTTGAATACAACTAAACAACGACCTGCGCAAGTATATATGCCCAACATTGTCCCCACCTCTCAAGTCGAGCCCAGCGAACGACCAAACAAGCAGGCTGATCAGGGGACATTTCATTCCCTTTGAAAGTCCAAGGCGCACTATTCATTTAAACCGTAGTTATCTATATACTCCTGAACGAAGTCCGCGAGTTGGATTGAACTGTTCATATGTTACTATTCAATATAAGTAAGTAGAGCCCCACAGTTTCCTCGAGATTTCATTATTTTCGAGACCAAGCGAATGTAGCGCTGTGCGTAAGGGAAATGGCAAACGAACACAGTCAGTAGAAAGCATGACGACCTTGAATTTATGTGCTGGGATGCGCTCACCCACCTCCCATCATGCACCTCTTACAACTTGAATTTATTGATTCTGCGATAAATCATCGAAGCTTTATCGCTATCATTTTACTTGTCTCTCAGCATACAACCTACTTCTCAGTTTGCTCTGAAGAATGATTTCTTTCATCACTGTCTAAGTCAATTTCGGTTACACATCACCACCACTTTACATCCCGGACCTGGAATCTGACGAATTGAATCCTCCAAGTGTTCTCTATCTCACACCGCCACAGAGTCTCAGTCAATTGCCTTATAGTGACATAATATGTGTTCCAGCTTGTCGTGATTGGATATATACCCCTCAAATAGCGAGCAGTTAACAAGTTATCACTGCACCTTCAATCAGCGCTTACATATTTTGAACTTCAACCTACCCTGGCCCATATTAGGACTCAACCAGTCGGTTACTCTCGCTTCTTGATCTAACTTCAATCAGCTTGCAATGCCTTCGTCACAGGTAAGTGTTCCTCGCTTGAAAGCCATGTCCCTCTAGCAGGTGGTCTTTGTTGACAATACTGATTGTATGATTTGCTATTTTAATAGTCTCCAGACCCGCAACTGAAGCCGAGGAAACGCTCGTGGTCAAAGACGCTTGCTTCTATATTCTTGGATTTTTTTGAAGATCGACACACCGAGAAAAAGTCGATAATTGAGCATCAAGGGCATCCGCGTTGTCGAAAGTTTTCGACTAAAAGGAAAAAGACCTTTCCAAATTCAGATCTTGCTGCTTCACCTAGTATTACCATCATATCAATAAATCCTCCAAAGCCTGCTGGCGGCGTTTGGGCGGATACACAGCTTCACACAAACATAACAGAATCTCAACAGTTCTCATCTAGTTTTCAAAACCCATGGACAAAACTTTCGCCAAGACCCATACGAGAGAACGAAACAACAGAACTAGTTGAACCGACCGAGCTTGAGGAAGAAGCCAAAGACTGGCTTGCTTCCTTGGCGACCGAAAATCAAGCCCGTAGAAGATCCGAACCAAGCTCTCGCTGCCAGTCGACACCTACGAGAAAGTCTCGCTCAGATTCACTGAGCAGTCCGTCACCTGCATTACTTCCCCTTTCACCGGATGTCACCAGGAGGTCGCGTTCGGGGTCTCTGAGTCGCTTAACACCACCCAAAATGAGTCCCATGTCTCCCGATTCACCACAGAAGGCATCCAATGCATTAGGAGGAGTGATACCAAGCTCCACCCTAATGGTCCCTGAGCTTGGGTCGAGAGGTCGAAAGTTCCGGGGTAAATCTCCGTGCAGCATATACTTTCAAAAGGCCAGTGTTGTTCCGACAAAATCGGAAGCGGAAGTGAGTCCAAGAACTCGCATGAGCTGAAAACAAAATCACACCTCAAAGCCAAGAGGTCCACATTTGTTGCATACCCACATCTGACGTTGAAACCCCGATATTATGGCCATGTGCCTGCAAATTTATCCGTATTTAACACCGTATTATCATTTTCCTTGTCTGAGTATCTCTTCTCTTATATTTGTTCTTGATCGTATCCTATCATTCTAAATGTATCCTGAATATCTCTTCTCTGACATGCTATATTTGTTCTTGATCATATTCTATAACTCTAACTGTACGACGGACTTATCATTCAAAGAGGTGGTTATGTTTTGAGTATCGGAAAGGACATGAAATCCCCAAACACCGAGCCATCCATGTAGCCTTTCTATTTAGCAGCAAATCATCTTGTTATCATACAAGCAGGAAAATCAAATTCTTGGTTGTGCTCAACCAGGATCATGCACCCACTTGATTAACTCAATTTTACCACCAAGGGCAGGCCAACACTGTACACTCAGATTACAAACTGATCACCAAGTCACTTACACATCAACCCAAGATCAGGACCTCTATCTGGAATATCCTTCCCAAGAATAGCATTAACCAACTGCCACACATAGCAATGAAGCATCCCAACAATCAATACATTGTAACTTGGGGAAACTTTCAATCTCTGGACCATATCCACAAAAACCCACACTTTTGACTCCCTAACACAGCATTTAATCTTTACTACATATAAGGTGCTTGTCATCATTTTCAATTTCCCTCAAACACCTCCAACCTGAGAATTCAGTACAACACACAAGACTTGCCAAGACCAGACTATTACATGTTCAGCAGATCAAAGTGAAGCATGTATAAAATTCTCCTTGGAATCCCACCTGCTTCTGAAAGACAACCATGAATCCCTAATTACTGCTGAAAGCTATGAGTTTTGTCACATTGATGTAACATAACTAAAGCATATCATTGGCCAGACCCTATAAAGCCAAAATCTGAGCAATAGCATAATGTGTGGTTATCTTCTATGTCTTGGAGTTGGGGTCTTTCATACAGTGGATCGATTGTGCTTCCGTAGTGAATAGTAAACTAGAGTGAGATGTGTTGAGAATGGTAAACAGGATGGTCAAAGTGGTTAACAAGACAGAAATGAATTTGGTTTCAAATTCTCACTCTCTTCCAATTTGTTTGGGTGTAAAGACTTGTACCCTTGTGATTGCTCACTACAGTTGAATCCTTGTTTCCGAAAATTCAAGGAGTCTGTGTCATCATAAACCAATCAAATCACAATTCATTCTTTCTTGTTTTTTTTAAAAATGTTAATTTGATTTCTTTCTGATTATCTAAGGAAAAAATCATTTTTAATTTTTTCAAAAATCAAGAACAATCAAAGAGAATCAAGTTTGATAACTATAGATCTCAAAATATTTTTCAAACCTCATTCTCAAAATCCAAAAAAAAACAACAACAAAAAAACCAATAATCAATTCAAGTAAGAAAAAGTAAGTATGAAATCCAAAAGAAAAACTTTGATAGAAAATCAAATTAAAAAATATTATAAAAAACCCCACAACCACACCTTTTGAAAAATGAAAATGATCCTCCAATATTCAAAACAACAACCCAAGCCTAATTCCAAAATAATCCAAGATAAAGATATATGTTTATATACAAAAAAAAAGACAATAGAGAAAAGATCAATAGAAGATGCGTTTCCAAAAGTTAATAATCTAGATCAAACAAATGGAAAACACAACAATCGAATGCAAAGAATAAAGAAGATGTGAATAAGAAAAAGAATGAGAGAGAGAGAGGAAAAAACGAGGGGATATATATGAAGAAGAGATTGGTAAAGCCTCTTTCTGTTTCAAGACCAAGCACAGAATTTGGTCTTGATTACAAAATCACATATATAAATGCGTATCTAGTTCTAGCTAGATAAGCCAATAAACGGTAACCGATCTAAATCAGTAAAGCCAAGATCGATCCCATGACTGTGATCCCTACGACCCCCTTGAATGAAGCCTTAATCGAAGTAGCATCACTAGTACTCATCAAATTCACAATCCCAGCTCGATCACTAATCGATTGAGCAAATTGAGCACCACACTTTCCAGTGATCCCTTGCCATAACTTCACTTGTCCCGATAAATATCCAGAAGCACGTAAACCACCGAAATGAGGTGTACTTTGTTCAAAAGCAATGTAAGATGCCATCACTGCAATCGTACAAGGTGTACAGAGTGCATTCTTAGGTAAGGTGGGACTCAAGAATAAGAATGCAAGATTGGTGGTCGTGAAGGTGGTGGGGTCTGGATGATCGTTATTGGCATAAGAGCTGGAGCTATTAGTCTTAGGCTTGGTGGAAGTGCCGTTGTTGGAAGTACTGTTGGTCAAGGTGCTATTGGTGATAGTACTGTTGGTGACATTGCCATTGGTGTAGGTATCGCTGGTATAAGAGCTGTTGTCATCGCGAGCTTTAAGGTGGGATGATCTGGCGATCGAAGCATGATCTCGGCGGTCGTGGTTATGATGAGCGTGACCAGGGGTAACAGCAGCAATTGCACGTCGGGTAAGACTACCACCAAGTTGAGTGACGAGTTTACCAGAAGGTAAAAGGGAGGTGATCATCGTACGGAAATCGGTGGCCGACATTGCAGGATCTTTACTGTCGCTTGAGGAATTGATCACAGATGAAGCGATAGTAGTCGGACAATAATCTCCAGTTTTAGGATCTTGTGCACAAAGTGCTCGCTTGTACTATATGGGATTATAGACAAAAGTGAGTAAGACTTCATCGATCTTGTTTGAAAAAGGGAGAAAGAAAGAACGAACAGGAGTCATGATGTATAAAACATCATAAGCCGATCGAATAGCAGGAATTCCAGCATGTAGTTCATCAGAACAATTACCCGAAAAGTGACTCAGGATTTCATGAAAAAGTCCAGTTTGACAACCATTCCCCGAAGCTGGACCACAAAGATCATGAAAAGCTGATTGAACTTGATCGGGTGTAACAGACGAAGCACCAGAAGAGAATGAAGCGGTCGCATTCATAAGAGGTGCAGTACAGGCTTTAACTTCAGAGTTTGAATTCAATCTAGCCAAGAATGCTTGACAGGCACCCGAGACTGATGATGGTATACGAGCATTTGTTCCTGGATTGAATTCAGCTGATGGGTTCCAATCTGAAGAGGCGGAGTTATTCTTGTTGGTCGAGTTCACTAAAGAAAGGGAAGATCAAAGAAATGAGATTAGGTTATAGCAATGGAAGAGAGAGAGAGAGAAAGACTAACATGAAGTTGAATTTTGACCGATGAGGGATGAATTCATGCTAGATGGCCATGGTGAATCAGCAGCCAAGATTGCTGGGATTGAGATGAGTAAGATGACCGATTTGAAGTACTTTAACATTTTGAAAAAAGTAATCGGAAGTGTGATTTGATAAATGAATGTTTGATCTTAATCGTTTGGGATGAAAAATTCAAAGAGACAAAGAGAGAGAGAGAGAGAGAGAGAGAGAGAAAAGGAAAATGAGTTCGTTTAAGAATGAAACTGCAAAGAAATCAGATTGGTTGTATTTTGATTTTTAATTTCAAATTTAATAATTAACTAAATATTAAACTCAAACCCCAAGAAAAGCTAACCTGATAAAGACAGTTGATGGTTGGATTTTTAATGAAAGTGGTGCTTTGTGGTTGAATTCAAGTCGATTTTAGAAAAAAAAAAACAGATCACAATTCGCAAAAAGAGACCTTCAGGTTCAGGAACGTTCCTTTTACCCTTTTAATTTGGGAACGATAATCGAGAATCGATTAAGGTGTTTGATTAGTGAATCTACATTGTAACTAAAACTAAAGTCCATTTCGAACCTCGATAGAATTTCGACCTGAGAAACCTTCACATCTTTATCAATTCATTCAATTTCAAACCTTGAACTCTTCTACGTCTACTTTTGTAACTTGAATTCAAAATTAATTCACATTCCAAGAAGTTCAACAAATTCATCATCACCATGATTTCTAATTCACATCCACTTCCATTCCTGAAGTTTGCTTTTGTGATCTTCGCAAATATGGGCTATGTACAGTCGTTCTCAGAAATGTTGGAAAAATGCAAAATCTCGAGCTGAGCTCGGGGTCCGTGCGCTGAGCAGGGACACGCAGATACAAACACTGACAAAAACTTTGATTTTGACAGGTATCTCAAGATGAAAATTCGTTTACTTTCCATCATACCTCGATGACCACACACCTATCTTGCCAATGGCCAGGCTAACGGACTGATCTCTTCAGAAAAACGGTGAAAACGTATGATTTCATGGTTAAGGGATTGTAACACGAGTCGAGGATCAGAGGAAGGATGGCATGGAGAGGACACAAGGGAGTTGAGGTTGGTGAAAGGGACACTGATCTCCACTCGACAGCTGCCATGACTTTTCCGTGACACATGTCATGAAAAAGTCACCTCCTTGGGACCACGACCTCAGCTCGAGATGTTGGATTTTTCCAACATTTCTGAGAACGACTGTACATAGATGGTCAGGAAACCCTATCAAAGAAGTTATTGAAGCAACGGTGTTGGAAAGATTGAGATCAGAGATATGGCATGTGGGAGAAAATCGATTTCATATCAACGTATGGTGAAATTAATGATAGCATTACGTCAGGATGAGCCCAGACCCGCCAAATCGGGGATACCCGCGGGACAGCCCGTCGGGTTGGGGGGTCGTTCTGGCCTTCGAAGGGTCGCAGAACCGCGGGGATTATCGGTCCCGGGAGTCGTTCTGAGAGTCAAAAGAAAGTGACTCTCCTCGGGGAACCCGAGGAAAAATCAAGCTGTAAAAAGCGGATAAATACACGCTTGGGAGAGGTTGTGCTCAGCGGTTTCTGCCGGAAATAGCCGGGGACTCGGGGATCCCCGTAATTTCCCGGGGATTTGGTAGTTCGTCGGGGGTCAGGGTACGGGAGCCGGGCTTGACCTATGAGCCAGAAAAAGCTCGGGGAATACCGGGGTCGGTCCTCGTTCTGACTTTTGAAAAAAAGTCGGTGGGCCGGGCAGCCCAGTCCCCGGCATTCGGGGGTCGGGGCTCATCCTGAGCATTACGTGCCAAGTATTAAATCTCTCGTGGGACTCTGATGAGTTTAGCTACACCATGGGAGGGTTCCGTGCCCAACTTTGGTCCGACCTGGCCTGAGATTGGCCGGACCGCATTTCGGCCCAGCGGCGTGGACACATGCCGCCATTTGGCGACCTGAATACCGTACATGATGCAGGCCATCATGAGCGGCCATTGGGCCACCCCCGGACCAGAGTAAAGGCAGACCCGGCAAACGCCCGTTACAGACAGCCGGAAGACCGGCGACCTGCAACCGGATGACCTGGTGGAGTTTGGGAACACTCTGAATCTCCCAAACGCACCACACCCACCATTCACCCATCATACACCCATCATGCCATCCGACCCATGTGAGTAACCAGCCAACCCTTTGATCCACCGCACGTTGGCTGATTCAAAGATACAGACATCGAAGCTGTTTCGTTAGACCCAGTCAACCCCCGATTCCGATGCAACGCTTGCAACACCCGCGGCATGGCCAACTACGAGCATCATGTCAGATCGTCTGCCCACCAGAACAAGGTCGCGAGGTACCTCTCACGCATTGCCGCCAAAGAACAAGCGCTGGTTGGATTAGAAGCACAAGAATCCAGGGGAATAGATCCACCGGAGGCCCTTGCCTTGGACGCAGGGCTAGATTTTGAACCTGATCCTAATCCGGAAGACGCAATAGGCGATCCGCCATCTCCCCTCACCTATCTCCGGTCACTGCAATCTCCTGACGTCCTTGGCGACCAATTGCTCAACCATCCCACGGATACTGATGATCCCGATGCACGCATCCGCTTCAACATGCTTTGAGAAGCTCTTGAGAACCTAGAAACACTCAATCTTGACAATGAGGACGGCGATATAGACAAAGAAGAGCCGCCTCAGGACGCAAATGTTGCCCGCGCACGAGCCCAAGAAGCCATCGAGTGGCATCCGTTCAAAAACAAAGAGGTGAGGCACATCATTTATGTTGGCATGACATAACGACTGACTTGGCGCTTCCATCATGGTCAGCAGGTCGCCGGTTTGCTCATCATAGGATCTCCTCGTCACCTACTATCTCGCTCACAGTACTTGTACATCCGTTCGATCTTACGCATTTGTGATGTGAAGCTCCCCGAATGGGGGACTCTGAGGGAACTTAAGGTCAGGCTGAAGGCCCGGCTTGGCATATCTTTATCCAAAAGAAGCAGTCCATTCCCATCCTGCTACTGTTACACAGTTCCATGAATATTTCCTGAGTAGCCATTGTGATATATGTAGTCAATATTTTGAGATGTGTGGCTCAATCTGAACAAAGTTACAGCATGTATTACACATGAACTTCTTATCTAGATGAGCAGAAAACTGAGCGGACCTGTATGTAGCTGATAGCTAAGGATTTACTCAGATGTTTGCACATATGTAGTGTATGCTTTATGGCTCAGATGTGCAGTGCAAGATGATTTGATGCACCATTCTTCTCTCAATGATATTCCCAGCCTAGGTCATGTTCCGACCAGGGAACATATTTAATGCTGGCAGTGTAAGGTCAGGCTGAAGGCCCGGCTTGGCATATCTTTATCCAAAAGAAGCAGTCCTTCAGGGATTCCCTTGTTCGGCCTAAAAGTTCAGACTATCATATCCAACGTAGGTACTTTTGAAGTATGTCCAAATGGAAGGGCGAGTGCTGAATGACCTTCGTTTCTTCAGGAATTGGCCAATCCATTCGTCAGTCCCCATTTGGTGTTCGTACCGGAATTGCCCATTGATAGTAAGGTCAACCGCCTCTCTCAATCACGAAAATGGCGTGAGTGTTACTCGGCCGACCTTCGCGTCCAAATGGTGGTAGAAAATCGCAAACACTTCTATATATACGAACCGGTGGAGCTAAAAACGGGCCAGCTTGCAGTTCCGATGTTTTTCTTTCAAGTTAATGACAAATTGCACGCGAAGTGTCTTCCTGCATCCATTCAAAATGATCTCAACAATCCGGACCATCTCATCATAGTGATACCACAAGAACCACCATTCGATTCAGAGGATTTTTACACGTTTGCACTCGAAGACTTTGCTATGCCTTTTCATGACATAACCCTGGACAACGGGCAGTATCTAAAGGACCTCTGTGGGTCTTTTATGTATCGTACGCACGCTTGGTTTAACATAGAGAATTGTGTACATTTATATATTTATATATTAATCGGCGACTCTCACTCACATACGCAGAACAACAGGACGGGGGCGTCGTTACTCAACCGCTTCGAAACCCGTGGCGCGAAAAAGCCGGAGGCAAAGTGGTTCGCCATGTGCCAATTACCTTATATTCGGACGATACTTCGGGTAATGTGTCCAAAAAATGGAACAAACATATGAGCGTGTACCTGACGCTTTCGGGGTTGGCCCCAGAGTGGACCAACCAAGAGTATAACATCCATTACTTGGCGACTTCGAACAGCGCAAGCGCACTGGAATTGCTTGATGAGGTGGTTGATGATATAAAGTCAGGAAACGGACCGTCCTTCTGATCCGTTTGTTTTCCATATACTGAGTCTCATGTTTTTTCAACCAGTGACCATGGCGAAAATGGATTTATTGCATACGACGAGGTTCTTCAGGAAGAGGTCTTGGTCATGGTGGTGGTGCTATGCCACCTCGGTGACTCCCCTATGCACGCCGAGATATGCAACACAACTAATCCCGCGAACACTTTGACTCCATGTCGGATGTGTGAGCTGAGGGTTGAACGCAAAGTCGACAAGGAGGATCAACGCTTTGTACGTGATTTTTTGGGTCTCGACGAACTCGGGCACAAGGTATGTGTTTTGCTGAGACCCTTGGGAGAAGGCACTTACTGAAGTATGAACGCAGGCGACCTTGCCAGCTCGCAGGTGGCATGTGACTCTTGAACGAACTCAGGAACTATGGGACCTAGCCCAAAAAAAAACACGAAGACGCTCGTGGATGACAAGGCCCGGGTTTATGGCCTCCGAGATCCGTTCAATGATTACTTTGTACAAAAGGTCCTTCACGCTCTAAAAATTCTACCGCCGCACGAGGTGGAGTCGCTGTGCAACCGCCTGAAAGAAGAGAAGGGTCTCAAACTTTTCAACCCTATGTTGAGGCTCAGAGGTGCGGTCAAGTCTTTTTCATTTGTGTAATAGCTGTTCTAAATACATATGTTTCCTAATAGGATTTGACGGTCACATCGACACCCCGCTGGAAGTCCTTCATGTGGTGCTCCTTGGAATTGTGAAATATCTTTTTCGCGACCTAATGAAGCAACTGTCACCGATGAAGCCCGGTTCAGAAAAATTCAACAACATATCGGCTCGTTGGCGCGCGTTCAACTCGCGCGGTTTGAATAGCCCTCCTGTGCAGTCTCTTAATTTAATTCAGTACTATAATAGCTTAGTTGGGAAAGACTTTCGGACTGTCCTTCAGACAGTCCCATTTGTGATGTTTCCTTATCTGACCGTGGAACAGCGCCATCTCTGGCTCTCTTTATGCCTGTTAGGTTCCTACATTTTCCAAACGGAAATAACCGATATGACAGTCTACCTCGCCGAACTGGACAATCATATCGGGGTTTTCCTCAATCAACTAATTCGGTTTACTGCCCAATGGGTCAATAAACCGAAATTCCATATGTTACTTCACTTGCAAGATTCAATCCGTCGATTTAGACCCGCTTCCCTTTTTGCTACCAAAAAAATGGAATCTTTCAATGGCCCTCTGCGAGACGCTTCAGTGCACACGAATCATCAGAGCCCCGGCCGTGACATCGGGAATACTTTCATTACCTCGGCCATTCTACGATTGCTCATTTCTGGCTCGACTTTTTTTGATAAGGGCCTTCAGGCCCGGGTCACTGCTGGGCCAAGACTCAGATCGCTCCTGACGTCCGTGCCTGAATTGAAAAAATCGATGGGACTGAATGATAACCCCAAGGCAGTTTTGCTCATTCAAGAAGGCCGTCAGTGTGTCTTTGTAATGCCTTTGGCCAATGTGACCCCTGACGCCCAAGTGGATACTCTCTTTTAGGTCGGATGAAGGGGGAAGTCGTGCAACCACCAGCATTGCCCAAATGCGAACCAGGTTGGCCATGGGTGTGTTATGAAAGTGTCACCCTGGCGAATGGACAATGTGTGCGCCCTTTGGATTTTATTCTGGTGAGCAAACGTGTGCTCCCAGTGCAAAGTCACCGCCGGCGCCACTGACCCACGTTGGTTCAACAGCTCAAGGATGAATCATCGGTGGCCCAGGTTCAATCTATCTGGATCCCTCAAGGTAAATCAGCATCCCACATGGTGGTAGTGTTGAAACATTGTAACAAAGGGCAGCTAGTACCTTTCTATGGAATGCGAGAGATCGTATTGACCCGCGATCAATACGCCAGGAGTGTCAAGGCCAGTGGTAACTTGATCCTCTTGCCCCAGTTCACTGAGATTTATCATGCAACAGTGCGTATTGATACGGGATCTTGGTTGGTTTCCAGGTACTAATGACCGTACTCAACGTCCAACATAACTGTCACGGAGGGAAGTGCGCCGTTACGATGTCCGGCACCAAGAAGATCGAGCGAAAATCTTGTGATGTCCAGGTTTCGGCAATCACTCATTCGGACACAAACTCGTACATTCTCAACTCCGCAGCGCATTACTCAGGAGAGATCCATCGCAAGATCGCAAATATCAAACTTAACGCAGTCACGCCGGCACAATGGAATGAGACCATAGCGCATGGTATCAACGTATGGAAAGCTACACCACGCCCCAAACAGAAAACCCAACCCGCGGAAGACGCTTAGAGGCCACCTTTACTCATTGCCATCAATCATAACTTGCTCACATGGACTGACTACATAAATGAAAGCATCTTGTATATAGGACTAAACAAGATTATCACACATGTTTTTCCCTTCGTAATGGAATGAAGAGATTTGAATGCCCATGCTAATACGTGAAGCTCGATCTTCCTAGTGTCTATAGTCCGGTTCCTGTTTCCCCCAAAATGTATGGGTCAGCTTGCGGACCAACGCATCAGAAACTTTCGTCCGACATACCTTCAAGATTCAAGTGACGACGCAGTCGAAATTTGGCAGGGTGAGCCTTTGTACACGTTGAAATTTCGTCATTGAGAGTGGAAGGCAAGGTGCGACGTATCACATCGAGTGCACATCTATCTATTACGAGGCCAACGGCTGAGTGAATTTGTGGATGCTTTGAAACCAGGTAGTCCTCCACCCCTGTGATATATTCAATCGCCCTCCCAATGTGAGCCATCCACGAGGTCCAGTTAGAACCATCCTCTTCTAAAGCATCGACCTCTTCGAGGATTTCTTCAACGTCTTCATATTTTTTGAATACTGCCGTGACGATTGAGTAATCGTCATATTGCGCTTGTCGAACTGCTGCATCAATTGCACGACGGAACATTGTAACCTGCAAGCTGAGGAACAAGTGTGGGATAAGGAATGTGCTAACAGCACATAAAACACTTGACGGTTCACGCACCAAGTTGATTTCGACGTTTGAGAAATAATCAAGCGCTATTGGACGATGAAAGAGATGACAGTTTGATCAAGGCAACTCCCAAACTCGGGGGACTCAAGTGCGTGATTGTTTTATGGGCCAGATAACAAACAACTTGCCGCAAAGCGCGTGTGGCACCAAGCGCACGCCACCTTGTTTACGACCTCTCCCTCCATCATCCCAATTCGGTGCTCGTAAACATCGCCCGACGGAAATTAGTCGAAACATGGACCCCGCCCCATTCACTCCCTCTCTGCCCACCAATCCACCGGGAGTTCGAGGAACCCTTTTGGTCCTAGACCGAAATCCGCGTGTCTTTAGGCTGCCTCACGCTCATTGGTCGGCAAGAAAATTCGCCAGGCACGCAGCCGCTCAGCAGACAGTGTATAAAGAGGGGGGTTTGTTGGTCTCCAGGTCGGTCCCCTCTCTCTCCCTCGCCAAACAAAATTCACCAACTTTGCTTGTCTTCTGTTTGATTTCTCTGGGTTTGATTCTTCAACCTCCGTGTCTCTTACAAACTTTTTCGTGCTCTTTCCCTTGATTTAATACCCAAACACTTGCAATGTCTTCATTACAAAACCGATCATTCGGTGCGTCTGGCGCTTCTTCCTCTCACTACCGCTCCCTCTCACTACAACCCCAATCTCATTCCCATTCGTTTTCAGGAAACCTGAGCCAGGAGAATGGTGGATCCCCTGCTGGATCTAACGCCCCTCGCACCCCGCTCATGGGTGCAACCATCCGTGGCCTCCAACAGCTGGGAGGCTTGCGAGGTAAACCACCTACATCCTGTGTCCTAATATCTCCCTGGAATGCTCATGTATTGTTTCCTTGATCTATGTTCACAAAGGCCCAGGTGTCAGAGCTACTTCTGTCTCGGGCCGCACGCGAAACGACCGTTTGATTTCACCCCGATCTCGAACCCCATCAACATCTTCTGTCGACAGACGTATGGAAGATGAGAGTTCGCAGGTCTTTGATCTAATTGATCAAAGATCTTCCAGACCCCTTGGGCCAAACAAAGCTGTTGTCTTTGAGGATGCTGTCTCCAAGGCAGGTCTGGACGCGGTACACCGCGAGGCTGCTCTAGCCAACTCCGAGGTAAACCATTTCATCACATATCAATCACGTCAGTATGATTTTGACCATCTCATTTATGAATTAGGCACAAGGTGCTTTCCGTCACATTGTCATCTGTGTCGGTCAAAGTCAGATCATGTTCGACATGTCGAACTTGTCCGCGAAGATAGTCAATATTTCCAATCAAGTCGCGGGGGTTTTGGAGCAGGTCGAAGCTGCTTTGGTTAAAGTGGAAAGCATTTCCATGAAGGTTGAAGGTATCATTGACCACGTCACAACCCTCACTGAGCTGGTTCAATCTGGCCCCAACGTTCAGGCTACTCCCAATGCCGCTTTAGGGGGCAATCCACCGGTGCCAAATGGTGAAACTTGGTCCGTGGCCCCCGAACTGAGGGTAAGCAACAATTTGATCTCTTCGCCCTCTTTCTTTCCGTACCAAGGACCTGCTGACCGGGGTCAACCACAGGCCGCGATCATCACCACAGCTCACCGCTTCATAACGCAACCCAGCCTGGAGTCCTATACGTCTTTGGAGACCCCCGAGCACGAGTGGCTTGCACACTCGCTGTTCAATTGCATCAAGGTGCGTGCGAGGTTTGCTCTGATCCAACCTCTCTACCCAATCTCATTTCCTCCTTCTTCATTAGACTGCTGTCCGTCAACATGCTCCGGTCACCCATTTGCTTCCTCCCCAAGTCAACGGGGTAAGTGATATCATATCAACTCGGACTTACAACACCGAAATCAAGAACGTGGCTAAACATATTCGTGAGAGGCTTCATCTGCTGGTGAGTAACACATTTCCCAAGTATGAACCAGTCATTCCTTGCTAATGTTCCCGAACAGCTTTTGACCGGCGTTTACGATCCGAAAAACCCGGTTGTGCACGGTGCAGTTCCCAACCTCAAGACACTTGTGCATCGAGTGAGTGCTTACCATTGCCTGAGTATGCACAACCCCGCAAATACTTATGTTCATTTGTTGTTTCTTTACTCAGATCGCAATCAAATTAGGCCAAGCTGGTGACCACGTTGACTATGAGTCGGTTTGGGCTCATACGAGCGAGCTTGCTCGCTGCCGAATTGCGTATCTTGTGGGTGACATGCTATGCGGACTTCCTCGTTTCACTATGCTTATTTCTAACTTGATTTCATTCTTGTGCCATTAGAGACGCGAGGCCGTCCGTATCTTTCAAATCGGCAGGGGTTCAAGCTCAATCTGGGCCGCTGTGGACAACCAGTTGCATGATTTACGTCGCCGAGGCAATGAGTATACCGCAGCGTAAGTCATCTGTCACTCTGTTCGGCATGTTGAGCTACTGGCTGAGGCTTTGGGGCGTGCCAGGTTTTACAACATCGTTTATGAGGATGATTGTTCTGCGTTTGACGGCCAAACCCGGTTTGAAACCGTTTCCGAAGTGTCGGATTTCCGGTTGCCGGTGGAAGAGGAGGTCAACGCGGCCATCTTGGTCCAAGCTAACAACGTCGAGGCAGCTTGATGGGCGTAGGCCAAGATTACGACAATGATCACGCCTTTTCCAGTTATGACCGAACTCACATATCACGTCCCCTTTGCCCGTTCTCTTACGTATCCCTTTGTGTGCGGATGTCTGTTTATGCCTGGAACTGCTTTCCCCCCAATGAAAATGAAATAAATTCCTTGTTTGGTGCTTGACTGTGTCTCCCTGTTCAATCCAATAGTCGTGAGCCTGCTATTGAGCTGTCCCTTCAGTCCCCGCACGCTGGATACGCACCTTGAAAGGGCACGTGATGACTCCCCGCACCTTTTGCCCGCCGGCGACCATGGGGGTAGGCCGCCGTCTGCTGGTGTTCTTTCAGTCATGTGGCTCGTTTGAGGCGGTTACGCACCGGCCCACACAGGCCGTCTCCAAACCGAAAATCCAAGGTCTATCTGTAGGCCGCCCTTCCCTGCAGACGCGGGGTCGGTCTTACAACGGCCTGGCTGGCCCGACCAAAGGCGGTCCAGGCCCTCCGGTGGTGTAGGTACATACATAAGCTTACAAACTGCTTGGTAAATTCTGACAACACCCTGGAAAGCTTCAGTCAAAAGCCAAAAACAAATGATGATTTAGATTTCACAATCAATGTAAGTAGCTAAAGTGAAGCGAGAACAAGGTTATAAGTGGTCATAAACGTATTGTAAAGGCAAAAACAAATGATCATTTATGTAGATTCCACGATTGATGTGGAATCTCAATCTCAGATTCAAGACAGATCTGAGTTTTGTTTGAGACTCCAGTGTGAGAGTCTACATATGCCGTAGTCGTGATAAGATCACGTGACTACAATAATTCAAGGTTCCTAAATGAAAACCCTGGGGAGCACCAAAGAACCGGGGGGGGATTTTCTGATAACGTGATGATGATAATATCACTAACAATGTGATAATTCTCCACTGTGTGGAAGAGTGGATAGGGCAACTGGCAAACCTGAGAAGAATAAAATGTGCATGGATATGTGAGACAGCTCCTTTCAAGAGCTTACAGCGTACACAGAGCAATGTTTGCCACTTTGGTGCTGGTAAAGAACCAGATTGAAACCCACATAAAGAACGTACAAATTGATGAAAGGGTCAGCTTTTGTTCAGATTCATGTATCATGATTATTCAGATAAGACTGACATGATTTTTGATGATGATCACAAATTCTAGCTGAACTGGGTTTTGAGTGCTAATGATACTACCATTAAACAGACCTTGTAAGGCCTTGAATCCAAGAAGTGATGTTCTACTCATTTTTTTAAAGTGCATTTAAGCATATTTGCATATATTTAACACCATCAGAATTTTGGAATGAAAAGACTACTATTTCTTGGAATGACAGCCAATGAGTCTGAGCAACATGTTTGGTTGGCTCAAGGATGCACATATACATTTTCTATAGTTTTTTTGTTCCAGTCATGTTTAGCTTCACATAGGTTTTCCAACCAAGGCTTGGACCTGGCCCAATCTGAGCTCCAAGAACTAGGCCAATTTGGGCTCTTTTCTTGGCGGCAGACCTGGACCCGCCCTGGAAAATAGAAATCTCACCTGTGGCAAAGTAACAAGGAGATTGGTGATTTTAGGCGCATTATATTTGCCATCATGGAAATTAAAACTCTTTCCCTTCCCTTTTTGGGTCCCTTTGCCATCTTGCCGAGCCTCTCAGAACAACCTTTGTCACCACCAATGCCTCAAATCCCTTTGTTTGAACTAGGGCTGTGACATGGCCCTGAGAGTGTGACAGGGCGGCCCCAGGCACTGCTTGGCCCAGAGAAGACCCAGAGGGATCTGGAAATCACTCAAGGCCAATCAGGGCACACCTTGAATTGGATACAGGTGCAGATACAGGGGCAGAAAGGGGAAATTTTGACAGGTGTTGGAGGATTGAGTGTATTGTTTTTTTATCCAACCTGTATGCATCTACTTGGAATTTCAAGAGAGCTACAGTTGGTTCTTGATGTAAGTATATCAATGGTCAACAGAAAGTCCTTGCACATATTGTGCAATGCATACTCACAAAATACGCATATATGCCTATTTTTCCCCAAAAGAAGACAGTGATGTCTGTAAGCCAATTGCCTCATGGGATAAGCATAATATGCTGATTTCTTCTAAAAAAAATTAGTCAAATGTTCTCATGCCAAGTTCTCCGCTTAACAATACAAGACTCATTGGGCTAATTGCAACAAATTGAAAAGGAGAAACAACACATCAGTACTACAAACAAAAAAGAAGACAGATCATGAAAGGTAAAAAGTATTGAAAAAAAAATTCAGACATGTTCTCTAAAGCATGAACACATCACCATATCCCAGTCATGTTCATCCTGGTTCAGTTCATGATCCAGTCCAAACTTAACTGGTCCCTCTCCCTCGCAAAACCGAGTGTTTGCAAGGGAGCGGGACGTGTTCAGTTTGGACCCGGTCAGGGCTTCTGCCAGCTCGATCTAAGCATATTATGCTTCCAAAGCCAAAAACTTGAGAAACATGCTCAGAGGCAGTATAATTGACTCTTTTTGTAAGCATATTTCACAAATTTTAATGATTTGTTATGTTTTAGGCATTATGCATCAAGGGTTTTGGTTTTAGCAGGGAGCACACATATACCAAAAAAATCACCAAAAATCCTATGCTTGTAGCAAGATATGCCTACTTTGAACTTGCTTACATCAAGAACCGACTGTACTGTCATTCTCAAAAAGCTTGTCAAAGTTTTCCCACAAAACTCAAGCAGTTTGGCGCAGAATTTTTGGCAAGCTTTGTAAGAACAACAGTATAGAAACCATAATAGACACCATTAGTGGCTCTCAAAGTTGACCCAGATTTGAAAACCCAGTTGCCCCAGTTGACCTTTTGGAAGTGAGATGTCATCAGATGTCAAGTTGATACACAAAGTTTCCACCAAAAATCAACTGGGTCAACCAGGTTTTGTTGGAACCGGGTCTCCTTTGAGAGCCACTATATTTTTTTGGGCAGCCACACGGTTAGGGCCGCCAGAGCATCCACAGGGCTGTTGGGATTGCTTTCAGTTTGTGTCAGTGCCCCAGGGTGCAGACTGCTTCTTTCTAAGAAAGTGTTGGGCAAAGTCAGCCAGCTGGGGCCAGGTGACAGCCCCAGCTTGGAGCCTTTTGGCTGGAGCACACCACTCTGAGGCCCAAACGGGCATCCAGAGGGCCAAACACAGTGTCATTTTACTACTCACTGGCAGGCTAGTGAGTACAACCAACACCGGAACCGCTCCGCAACGCTATGGATTTGGTCCCATATTTGTTGCGGAGCAGAGCCTCCGCTATGAGCGGGCCCGCTATCAAGACGCTATTTGATAGAAAAATCTCTGACGAGATTGCAGAGCAATAAAACACTCTTTTTGTGCTATATAGCGCGCTATGAAGGCACCACTATATGTTATATAGCACACTAGATAGATGACCGGGGGCAGTTAAACGCAGTGTCTGATCAACAAAGTAGCCTCACTGATATTTTATATGAGAACAGGCAAGGAGTTGATTGATACACATCAATTCATCTGTTCACGTTACCTTTTCAACCGGAGCAAGGGTAGTGCGTTGGTAATTGGTAGCACCAACATGTTTCAATCTCGCAATCACAGTGAATGACCCAAACATATCAATCATTCAGAATCAATCAGACCTTTGTTAACTTTCAATTCAGATTCAGATAAAATTCACAATTTGACATTGTCTTACGTATGGTCAAGAGATAGCCACCATATTTTGAATCAGTCCAATGAAGCCAAATCTAGACCTCATATCAGTAAATTCAATTTATCATTTTTGAAACTTGAATCAAATCAATCTGATTGGATCAATCATCGCCATCAACAAAGTTATCTTAAACCTATCCTTTGGTCAAATAATCTAACCGATCATCAAAAATTGACTCAGAACATTGTATCTTTCAACTCCAAAAATAATTGAATCTATTCATAAACTTCAATTTGAGTTCCGAAAAAACCCTGTTACAATATCAATATCTCAATTGATTAAATCAAGATGGATTAGTTTTCTTAGATCAGCTTTCTGATCAGAATTATAAAACTCATCCTGATTTGACAACTCAATTAATTGACAACTCAAAACTTGAAACTAGAAGGACTTTTTATGGTGATTATTGGGATGTGAAATCACAAGGTGATCACGCTACTAAGCTGTGTGAGGATTAGAAAAGAAGGTATGAAACTCATTAAGTAATATTTGGATTCAAATTGAATAAAGAATGTTGAGTGGTACGCGAGTTAGGTCCATCAACAAAGCAGCTGACGGGCCTTGAAAATGTAAGTCAAATTAAGTTTTGATTGGGAATAATCAGAATTGATTGTTGAAACGACCAAGTGAAAAGCTGAGGTTCAGATATCATCAGAAATCAAACTCATCATTTCTTTGGGGTGGTAGGAATCAAGAATCAAGTGCCATGTATGACTTCAGGGCATTTCTGGGTTCCCTCCGCTATATAGCGCAGTAGACCCACTCTGGGTGGGTTGCGGAGCAAAAGCTCTGCTATGAGACTTATCCCAAGTCGTGTGCGGAGCGGAGGCTCCGCTATATTTATTGGTGTATATAGCGGAGGCCCCAAGCGCTCCGCAACCGCTATATGGAGCGGAGCAATTCCGGTATTGGTACAACCACCTCAATCCAATCTCAAATCAATGACATTTCAACATCAATTCAATATCAATGTTTGGCCTACAGTAGCAGACAAACAACCTTCCGGAACAAACTGAAGTAAAGTTTGGTTGCATGTCCACACATGCAGATGTCAGAATGTCTGGAAGGTTTGAGTGATTGCAGCCCATGCATATCCCCCACTCAAACAGAATTGGAGGTCAAACTGATATTGAACTGACATCAAATTGAGATTGAGTTGAGGTGAATGGAACTCACTGGCCTGCAAGTGACTAGTAAAATGACACTGTGAAAAAAGTGCAAGCCTGGCCCCCTCAGGTGGCCCTGGGTCCAGGTCCAAGCCTGAGTCCCATCAATTGCAGGATACAAAGTAGAATCCGGGCATGTGCCCGGCTTTGTGCCCAGAATCATCTTGGCAGTAAATTTTGATTTTCTGGGCAAAAGTCTGGGCCCAGAATTCAAATTTACTGCCAGAAAAAATCTGGGCACGAAGCTGGGCACATGCCCGGCTTCTACTTTGTATCCCGTAAATGTCTATGTTTGGGACCAAACCTGTAAAGAGTCTGTTCTAGTCTGTTCTAGTCTGTTACTGTCTGTTCCTTTTGTTCTTTCAAAGCTGTCCAGTATAACACAGCAACTTGACAGCCCTTGAGAGCAGCCAAGTCTTTTCGATGGCTGAAAATTCTGAGAAAAAGTCCAAGACTTGGCAAAACCTGACCATTTTCATCAGGGACCTCCACAGTAGCTTTCCAGGGTCCTATGATGACATCTCTCATCTCTCAATTTTAAGTACGTACATAGATGTACCAGAAAAGGTGTGGTATATTGATGACAGGGTCATTCAAAAAACAAAACTTGCAAGTAATAAATCATCACTTAAATACTTGACCTGTTACAATGTTGGTCTGGCGTATATAAACTTTCTTGTTCTATATGTGAGGTAGGTATTTCTCAAATCACTGTGATCAGGATATTTCAAAACCTATATTTTCAAAGGTCTACACTGATCACCTATGTAAACAGAAGGCAGTAAGTGAAGGTGTTTTGAATCCATGATCACATGTCAGATTGTGATGAAAATGATTGATGGGCTTGGAAGACCTTTCTTAAAGAGGGAAAGGTATTTCTTCATATTTTGATCAAAAGTGAATCATCATTGAAATGGATTATTTATATATGTTCTTGTATACTATGTTTTGTAATCTTTTGCTTACATCAAGTATTCTCAATTCCTTTGAGCAACCATGAGGGAGCACAGTCAACAAATATCCAGACTTGTCATAACTCTGATAAGTTCAACAAATATCTGAGTGCCCCAGGGACCAGATAACACATGTGCTCAGTCCACCATTGCCAGAGTTCCTACTATGATATAATGCAGGCTGCTATGTAGTAATCCAGATCTTCTAGCACAATGCTTCTATTAGTACAGGAACAAAGGTGCCAGGCAATAGTATCCTATTTCTACACTATATTTTCATTCAAATAAAATAAAATCATCGGTATTACTATCACATAGCAGGGGTTATTATTCTTTCAAGGTACTGATTATGTAATTCTTTGATGTTAAACACTGAGTGATGAAGCTATCAAACCTTACAAGTTTCATTAAAAACCAATCAAGAACTGAACGCGATGCTGAAAGGTCTTCCAAAATACATAATTTGATAGTTGAGAATGAGAGAAATTAAAACAAAACAAAATGGCTGATACGAGAAAACATGAGAAAAATACAAAAGAAAGAGAGTATCAAGAGGGTTCCAAAAGATTAGACAAGAGCAGCATGAATAGGTAAGAATGACAAGAAAATTGATGAAAAATGATTTGAATTCGTCTTTTCAAGTCAAGATCGACTGAAATATATACACACATAGAAATTGATAAAGGTGCTTAACCACTTGAGAGGTTTAATAATGACCTTGACCGTGCTCTTGGACTATACCACCAAATTGACTTGCTCCTGAAAACTCAGTACCCATGAAAGAAGCTCTATTCGGTTTGGCCAGTTTATTCTTTCTTTCCATAACTACATCACTAGCCATTGTTACAACCTATTCAGAATTCAAAATCATCTCATGAGTTTTCAGATTGTCTTTACGTTTTGATAACGAAAAAAAAACAGTCAAAAGCATTTACAATCTCACGATCTGTATCCCATTTGAATCCATCCCCAACCACATCTTCTTCATACCTCTTCATGGTATATTCAACTTGTCTCAATTTCAACTTACGCACATTGAATGCAAACAAGAAAGGTCCCATTGATGTTACCACCGTATTCTCCAAAGAGTCTGGTCCATAGTTGAATCTGTTGCGTACCAAATGATCCAAAGGTAAAACTTTCGTCAGAATACTTTTTCTCAAAGGTCAGGAAAATTGTATTAATGACTGTATACTAACGTGGCCCTTCTGAAGCTAATTGGTATCCCCATATCATATATCATCGCTCGATGCTCATGTTTCAATTCGACTCGGAACCCATCGGGTCTATCATCGGCCGGAAAACTTCTTTCGAAACCAGTGAAACCTTTCCTTGCTCCCTCAGTTTCGATCACCAGGTTCACAAACCAGAGGTAAGTGGGGCAGGTGGCAATCATATAATGTCCATTTTTAGTAGTATCTACGCCTCGAACTGGGTCCTTAAGCTTTAGTAGTGCAGTTTTTGCATTTCTTCCAATGACAGCGTCGTATAATCTGATATCTCCAGTATGAGACCCAATGGCGACCTGACCACTCTCGGTTGTAACTGCACAGGCAAAATCGACCTTGGTTTTGTAAGATCTGGTTTGATTGTTGACCCGTTTATTACCACTGATTCGAGGGTCAACAGTGTAGAGACTGTTGTGGGAAGTACCAATGAAGGTGGCTTCAGGATTCATCTGTGCGAACTTTGTTTTAGGCACAAAGGACGTGATCTCAGTTGAATCATCAATTTTCCATTCCTCGACGACTTTGCCAGTCGGAAGGTCAAGACTGTAGAGCGAGTGGGGGTTGTTTGCATCTTTCAAAATCATCGTCATGTCTTGATGATGGAGCTACAAGAGAGAGAGATAGTGTAAGGATTAACAGAGTATGAAGATCAAGAATTGGGAGGGTACTTACCATCATGTCTGTCGGCATAATCCTTCTTTTACCGTCCGGAGTCATTAGGTCTTTAGCAGAACCCATGAACCTGGAGATGGGATAGAGCTGCATCAGTGCGAGACTCGGAGATGACCCAAGAGATCAAGCTTCTTCTTACTTAAGCTGCTTGCGATCATCGGCTTCATTCCTAAACACGCCGATCATATTGCCACGCCGAACAAACGATAGATTTTCTTTGTAGCCAACCGCAAGTCCTGAGTTTTTGTGATTGTCAAGAAATTCGGAGAGTGCTGGGTTTTCCTCTTGGTTTTCGCCTGAAGCACATAAAGGAGGTAGAAAGAACGCAAAGCAAGAGATGATGACATGAATATCAGCTGATCTTCATAAATTATATCAATGGTGTACAAACCATGAGAGACGTCATCTGGCTCTTCAGCAGCCACTTCTTCATCTGAAGCTTCGGCCATGTCGACATCTTCGCCTTCTTCTATAATCACGCCATGTACTTGTCGATTCCAGCTCCTGGTCTGTGCTTCAGATCGTTCATAGCTACCCAATCCATTATCTCTGTCATAGACAGCCCGTCCAAAAACTTCCTGGGCACGAGTATATTCATCTCTGGAATCCGCATCATCATCCGGAAATTTCAAGAGCCACGTATAAGAGCGGGTCTCGGAATCGCCCGGAGCAGTGTAATGATAATTGAATTTGATAGCACCCTATTAAATCATATCGCGGTCAGTGAATGTACTAGCTTATTAAAGGTCGCGAATCACCTACCGCTTGAAAGGTGAGACTTTGCTCTTTCCCAATCTGCGTGCTGATCAATGTGAATGGCTCACCGGTCTGCTCGTCAGGCCCGGTCACAGTCAACCAACATATTTGTTGGTCTTCTGTCTCTGGACCAGGAGTCCAAAGGGAGGCCTCCACATCTTTCCGTTGAAGGTAAAAGCCAAATAAGGCAGCATCAAAGAGAAACAGATGGCACCGTTGAGCCCAAGTGCAGACGAGGGTTCCGGACGAGGGCTGAGACGCAGAGTCAGTTTTGATTTCAGCTGGATCCATTGGGGCTGGGCTTCCATCAGGTTGTTGGTTCCCGCGATTTTCTACTGATAGACTACGTCTTCCTTTAGGATTGGTCTCCGTGATGTCTGCTGGAGAGCGGTTGGTGTCCTGAGGTGCTCTTGATGGACGAGGCGGGGAAGCAGGTGTCGAAGTAACCGAGGTATCGGCCGGAGTCTGATCTGCTCTACCCTTCCCTTTTCGGTCAGGCGTGACTGACTTTTTGACAGCGGCTTGAGATTTTACATCTGGGGTCTCCTGCTTCGGTTGGATGGGCGGGGTGTCAGATTGAGGCTGTAAAGAGGCTGCAAGCATCAATCCAGCAAGTTCATCTTCGGAGTCATCATCGTCATCATCATCTTGAGCGCCACCGTTGGAACCGGCTTCTTCATCTTCTTCATCATCCTCATCCTCATCCTCATCCTCATCTTCATCTTCATCTTCTTTATCTTCATCTTCTTTATCTTCGTCTTCATCTGCTTCTTCATCATCATCTTTATCTTTATCTTCTTCATCTTCTTCTTCATCTTCTTCATCTTCACCCTCATCTTCTCCATTGAGAGTGTCACCTGTTGAGCTGGCTTCATCATCATGAGCGCCACCTGCGGAGCTAGCGTCGTCATCTTCTGTTTCTGATGCCTGAGACTCGTGCAGTACCGCTGACTCGGCGTCCGTAAGGTCTTCGGAATCTGAGGATTGATCTCTGAAGAGCGGTAGATCGGGGTAATGGCGCGCTGGAGCCGCAGGCTGGTCGCTGGGCAGGGTGCAACTCGGAAGCTTCAGTTTCACGGGTCGGTGGATTGGACAGAGTAAAAAATCGACTCACAGTACCCTAAAGATATCGAGCTCTTCGTCTGGTACTTCCGAGCTATCTGCTCCATTAAGCCTTTCCCACTAATCAAATGTATGCGTCAGAGGTATGGCTCCTCGCGTCATATTTGCTGCATATCGGTCAAGTAACATACCATAGAGCGATATATCACGTTTTCGAAGAAAGGTATTTTGTTTGAATCAACATCATAATGATTCATATCGACAAGAAATTCGTATGTGTTTGGAAACTGGTCGGTAGACTGATCGATCCAAGTAAAAACTGTATAGGTGGTCAACTCTTGATCGGTCTCATCCGTACTTTCAAACACTCTGAAACAAATGCTCTGATCTATCAAGAATGTCCTTTCGAATTCTTCCACTACATGTAGTCGAACAAAACAGATAAGGTAAATTGATGGTGAGAATGATCATATATGCTATCCAATCACAAACATTCGTCCCCTAATTCTTCACCCCCAGCCAAGACGCGGTTGATCGCCAATTCGAATTGAAAAGGTTCTGATGTTCGTCGAATTGTAGCCTCTGCATCCAGAAAGCTATTCCAAATGATAGAGCGCAATGTGATAGAGAACTTGGTCAGACCAAAGTATTACTGTAAATAGTCTATAAGAATATTAACTGACATGCACTTCCTTTCGACCTTTTGAGCATATCCAGGACGTAGGATGTCAAGTCGACCGCCTGGTAAGTTGATCAACAGGTCTGAAGAAACCTTCGATTCTTCCTCTGAGACGTGCAAGAATCATCAATATCAGGTAAGGTAATGATAATCAAATGAAGCACCTGTTGAAGATCCAGAGATCACTTTTGACAAATAGAAAAACAAATCAGTATCAGCGGATCGAGTATTTATCGTTTTTGACTCCTATCTCGAACGAAAAGATGATAATTACAATTGCGCATCTAAAGTTTGCAAGAAAAGCCAATCAGTGAGCAAGGTCTAAGATTAGGTATTGTTCTCAAAAATTCGGGGACTTACCATTTTAAACATGATGATGGAGGTCTCTTGGGTTAAATATGAGATTCTTTTTTTTGGTATGAAAGGTGTACGAGACCGAATTTGTCAAAGACATGAAGAACTCGACGCATGAATTCAATAAAACATCTCCTCGCTCTGACAAGGTCGGGTTTGGTCGGATCAGAGATACAACAACCCGGTACCGCGACTGTGAGGTGATCTCCATCTCGAAGTCAAGAATGCTGAGCTGAAACTGAAGTTCTCAAGAGTTTCATTGAACACTTTACTATGAATCAATCATCAAATAATCGTACCCTCATTCATCGTGTCTTCAGCAAGGAACACTCTTTGATACTCAGAGGAGACGGTCTGAGATGGATCGAAGATATGCTAGCGCACTATAAAGTCAGCCCTGAAGATATTGAAGATACTCTCAACACACTCGCTACTGAGTGCGAATCGGAAGTCACCCTTAGAGGTCTTTAACAATTTTCTCTTCAAGCCTTACCCTGTTACCTTCAATTCAGGAATATGGAGAATTGCTTGGTCCAACCTCTCATGAGATATATATCCTCGTCTCTTTTTCAATACCTTGCAGGATTCCATTCGAGGCTGAATCAGACGGTCTTCGGTTTTTTGTGTCTTTTCCTCGATCTCGTCTTTTGTCCATCGTTGGATATGTGCAGACGCTTCGGCTGTTGTAGACCAACACATACTCCAGACTGTTTACGATCGTCTCTTGGCACCCACAGCTGAAGAACCTACCTTAAACGCCGATCATGAAGCTGACTCACTAATATCAGAGTCTCACACCTTCAAAGTCATCGATGCCTTTCAGATACCTAGGCTCACTTGGTCTGAAGATCGTAAAATATTTGAACTCTTCGAAGCTGGTAAATCCAAGCCCTCGATTTTGGGTCAGCCCATGAGTCGATCACTTTATCTTCGAGATCGTTATCACGTCATCAAACAGGTCATCTTGCGCAACGAACATTTCTCTCCCCCTACCGTTGCAGGAGGCGCTGGTGCGGAGGAACGTGAAGAATACATGAAGGTCAATCCGCGATCATTATACACAAGTTGGCAATGCAACTCTTGATCACTCATCTGACCACTACGCAATAACAGTTGACTAGTACAAGGAACATGCTTGGTCGCGCTGGACAAAGGTTTTTACTATTTGGTATGTTGAGTAGAATGCAGGATTATTCTTACTGTCTAGAAGATCTAGATGGTAGGGTTAAACTTGATTTATCCAATGCTGTAAGTCCATGCAGCCAACACCCATGCACCTCGAGCTCTGGCGCGCTGATTGACTTTTGCTTCCCGTCTCGTTAATCCAAAGACTCCAGCTGAGGGATTTTTCACAGAAGGATGTTTTGTCTTGGCGGAGGGTGAATATCAGGCAGATGAAAGTTTTCGCGTCTTGGAGATTGGCCATCCACCCTCTGAGCAACGTGATGTTTGCAGGTGAGCACCGAGATAAACTTTGCGATCATTGAGGCAAGATTTCCCTCTCATGATGTTTTCTCCGCCCTGAACAGAAAGCAATTCGCTCACATAGACTTCACAGGAACAGGAGCGCTTCCGTTGAGTGAAGAAGCGAAATTGGTCAAGGCTGAATCAGCAAGCGATACACAATTTATAGTGTCAGTACCATCTTCTCGAGTGAAATAACATAATCTCTCACATAAGATTTAACTTTATGTCCCGTCTGTTGTTGATAGGATGTCGGATTTCTACCTTGATAACCCAAGTGTACTCATCAATTTCGAAAGAATCTTGGATGGTTACGAGGACCAATTTCAATCGTCTGGAGGAGGAATTCGGCCGCCCCCTGTATGGGTCTTATGTGGCGACTTTTCGCAAAAACCGTTCATCTTCGATGGTAACATGACAATGGCTTACACAGGTAGGTGTGATATCTGCAGAACACGCACCATACAGAGTTGGCGACTGATTATTTTGTGACACTTGTGCATGTCTGTCTGCTTCGTACACGCTGGGTGATAGCGTTATTCACCAAGTTGGCCAACTCTTTATCAAAGTATTCTAACATCACCCCGTACATTCACCTGGTGATTGTCCCCGGTCCACACGATCCTTGGAGCTCAACCACACTGCCTCGTTCCTCCCTCCCCCTTCCAATCGTCAAACCTCTCCTTGCTTCAGCCAGTCGAATTCCAAAGGAAAATATTCATCTTGTGTCTAATCCATGTCGGATTAGATGGATGTCACAGGAGTTAGTGATTTGTAGGGAAAACCTTATGAGTAAGATGTGTCGGAACCTTGTTAGTGAGTCTCTCAAGGATCCTACTTCAGCTATGGACAGCGAAAGAGAAGATATGGCCAAGTTTGTGAGTTCTTGATCATCACGGCTGCGAGTCTCATACCAGTTCCGAAGTACTGATGACTTTCATGCACGGGTGTGATGTAGTTGGTTCAAACAATATTAGACCAAGCTCATTTATCTCCTCTGGCACTCAACGTCCGACCGGTTCTTTGGGAATTTGATCAAGCACTTCGCCTCTACCCCATGCCCACAACGGTCAGTGTGTGCATCAACAAGAACACTTCTTGAGTGGATATGCGTGCTGAGTTGAGGCTCTATGGCCATAAACCTGGATGTGTATATACTACAGCTGGTACTTGCCGATAGCTATCCACCTTATCGACTGACATATGAAGGATGCCATGTATTTAACCCTGGAAGTTTCGGAGTAGGCTCCAAGCCGATTTGGGCAAATTATCACGTGGCAACACGTACAAGTGAAGAAAGGTAAGTGCCAATTCAAGAGCTCAATGACGATAGCTGAGTCAAGCAGGCACTGATTGTTTGATGTTTCCGTTCTCACCATCCGTCTTCTCCTGTGGCTGTGAATGATGCCCCTTCGACCTAACGCATCAAACAAATCCAACATGGGGTCTTAATATAGTGAGCTTCCAAGTTGATGATACATGTCTTGGTCTTCATCAAATTATCTGGCATATGTCACATGTATCACATGTAAACAGTGAAGAAGTGTAAGAACCAAGTCTGCTGCATAGATGTACCAAGATTCTGGCAACTCAAAAGTGATTGATTGGCATCAGGAGGATCGTGAGGTCCTTTCAACTTTGCACGATTCATCCACTCCACCTCTGTGATTCTGTTCATGTGAGAACTTGATACCCTGCCTGTTCATATTCTAGATGGCTGCACCCCAATTCATAGCATGGAGTACAATTAGGGAACTGGCATTGCCAGAATACAAATCTACATAAATGGTAGCTGTACAACTAAAGAGGTTGGAAAGGCAGAAGTGTTGTGGATGCATCCTCCTGTTCTGTCCCATCATTTTGCATGTTTTTCATATTTTCACACCCATAGTGTATGTGAGGTTGGAAACTTGGGTTGTGCCTAAAACTTGCAGCAATTAAGAATTGACCTTGTAAGACTGATAAACTCATCAATCTCCATCCAATACCTTCATTGCCTGCATGATCCTAACCTAACAAAGTCCCTCTTGGCAAGCAAGCCTGCAAGAGAGGGACTTATGGGTTATTCACAAAATTTGGTGTGTGTGCAAGAACTTTTGGCTGGGGAGTTTTCCAACCCACCATAACTTCTTACCCTTCAAATAAACAGTCTTTGGATCAAAGAAGAGTCGTGTGTGCCTACTAGATGTGCATACATTCATGTATCTAACTGTGTATTTGATGCAATGATTGCAAAGCAATGAAATGCTAAAGTTTGCAAAAAACCAAAATCTCTGAGCAAGCTGTCCAACCTGTCAAAACTTAAAGCTCAGACCAGACAAAATGAAATATTACACATAAACCCATTTTTCAAGTCTTTCTGTAGTGCTTTCCTGAAACCAGAAGATAGATTGCAAAGAAACAGTATGTGGAGGTTGTGCGGGTGCACAGGACCTTTCTTCAGTCCAAAGACTGTCTATTTGTAGGGTAAGAAGTTATGGTGGATGGAAAAACTCCATAGCCACAAGTTTCTTGCTCACATACCAAATTTTGTGGATAACCCATAAGTCCCTCTCTCACAAGTTGCAGGTTTTCTCACTGAGAGGGAATTTGTGAGGTCAGTGCATGATTCACAAGCCACTGTTTGGCTCTCATCAAGGAATCAGTCATTTCCTTCAATCATTCAGTCAGGTATAGTGAGGAAAATATGGAGCAGGATCTCAAAACACTGACATTATTTCTCATCTGGCTTTGGCACCTTGACCATCTCTGGCTTCCAACACCAGTATCCAACAGCTGAGACAAAATATGACACCCTTTTGAATTTTCAAATTTTTATAGACATCAGCCCAATCCTTGGTAATCTTGGACCAATTCTGTGTTTCTAGATTTTCACAAACTTCCACTGTCTCCCTGTGGGTCACCTTAGAACCTGAATAGTATGCAGAAGTATAATTGTTGCAAGAGTATTGGAAAACACAGGAGGATGCAAACATTATTGTTCCCTATCTTCCAGACTCATTGTACTGGATTTCTGGGACTTTTTTGTGGTTCTGCATTTCTAAACTTAGGTGTAAATGTGTATTTGGCATAGTGTGTTAATCAAACTGATGTCCAAGCCACATTTTGTTTCAATACCCAGCATTGTCAGCATCCAGGAAGCTGTCATCTGAGATGTCCTAGAATGTTGACCCCAAGAAGGAAACAGTCTGAGGAAATTATGCAAGGGTTGTTTTGGGCCAACACATTGCTTCTAGCTTTAGCATCAAAGTGTAGGCTAGCCATTCAAGCACTCTCATCACACAGCCAGTTGTATGGTAGTCGTACCCCAGTCCTTATTCCAGATATTGCCACAAGCATGAAATCCAAGTTCTTTGCCCCAATTTTTTGGGGGGTATGGTCTCTTTTAGTCTCAATTCTTCTTTGAGTAGCTTGGAACTGAACCAAGAACTCTTTTGTACAATGTGCAGCATTGTCTCATACAGGTAATGGTGAGGTATGTTTTATGATGTTGCTTGCACAAAACTTTAGATTAAGATTGTTACCTCAACTTGATCATAATTTTGTAAATAGTGTCATAATCTAATGATTCCCAAATATGATGATCTATTACAACTTCAAATGAACAAAATATGAGATGCTTAAGACAAAACCCAACTTAAACAAATCATCACATCTTGAACCATGCTTCAATTGTTAAAACATATAAAGAAACTCTAATAGTCCTCTGATTGAATTCTAACGTTTATTTAGCTTTACTAGATTTGCCCTTCCTTTGTCTCAATGCTTTTTCATCTTCACCAGATGATGTTGATGATGATCCAATCAATTTCTTCTCTAAATTAGCAATCGCTTCTGCTTCTGCTTTTTCATCTTCAATTGCTTTCAATTTAGATTTTTCAGTTTCTTCTATTCTTCTTCTTTCTTCTCTTCTTTCAATTCCTTTTGTGACCATCGGTCTCGGTCTGACATCTGACAAAAGGTTCTTGGCAATGATTTCCATCAAGAATGAACCACCAAAATCAAGGAGCATGACAATACACAATTGAGTTCGGAACTAATATTGATGGATTTAGGTCAAAGTGAGTTCCAAACAAATGATCAGTATCATTTCAACTTTTCTTAAAAGTCACCCGTTCTTATAGAGTCACGATCAAACACGGGGTTCACAAAATCGGACTTACGCTTGTTGGCATGTCCACCAGTTGTAGCCATCCATTAGCCTCCGGTACAAAGTTTGTTGCACCACAAAATGCTACTGCTGCGGCTCCCAGTAATCCGTAAAAGAGCGGTTTGTTTTCTTTGATGTCCTCCCGGAACGGTCGGCCTTGGAAGTTAACTGCGAATGTTGCTACACTCTGACAGGTCGACAAGAGATATATAGCGCTGTTTAGCAGACTTGGCTCAAATTCAGCATCCAAATTGATGTCTTTCGATCGACTGTAAAGCCTCGGAACCATTGATCAGTCGAGCTTTCAAAATGAGGTTCTAAATGGTCAACGACGATGAGAGACTCACGGCGATGTCTTTTCACACAGTGCGGTAATGTAGATCAACGCTGCAAGATGGCAGAAGAACTGAGCCATCACAGTCACCACCACGTATCCATTGAAGATACTACCCTGTGGACGCTCCTTTGAGAGCCTCTCAACCGGCTGAGACAATAAATCCATCAAACATCTCGTCAAAAGGGCCATCGAGGATTGAGATGATACATACAATTCCGGAAAGACTTACCTTAGCACGAGATATACAGAGGAAACATGCCGACATGCACATGCCCTGGATGGTCATTTGATAATCACCAAACTTGACCCCGTCCAGATATTGGACACTCAAACTGTAAGCTGAGATGAGACAGTTGGATGCTAGGATTTTGTACATCTGAGTTGTAGCCACGAGTGTACATCTACCCTGTCGTATGATAGTCGAGACAGCGGCAACATGTGACAGTTTTGATGTGAAAGGCGCCGCCACTGAAGCGTCACCCAGTTTGATTTGAGGTGGTCCGCCCGAATCTTCTTCCATGTCGGCCATTTTGGAAGTGATGTCGCTCAAGTTGAACTGTTTGTCGAAAGAAACACTTGTTCAATCGTGTCATTGATTTTCAGTGGAGAAAGGGATATTAAGTGTGGCCGATGAATTACCTTTTCCATTGGGTTCGCCTTACGCGCCTCATGGCCACTTTTCAGTGCTTTTTGTTGAACCTCAACCAATTCTGGGTAAATCTGTGCAAGAGGAGCTGGTACAGAAGGCGGTGGCTGGTTGAGTCTTTGAGAGATTTTCAGTTGAGTCTCCCAAATCTTTTTCAAACGCTCATTTCGCTGATGTTCCGCTATGGCTTTCAAATCTTCGGGCGAGCCGTCCAGCAATGCTACACCTACATGTGCCGCCTTCAAGGCACCTACATCATTTGTACCATCACCAGCCATAAGAGTGACATAGCCGAGTGATCGAAGGGAAGTGACCACCATCTCTTTTTGAGAGGGTGAGACTCGAGCATATACCCATACATTCTGGACTAGATCGTGCCAATTGGGTGTCGTTGAAAAGTGCGTGACCGCCGTACCGGTCATACATAAGTCGTAGTCATCAAGTATCTTGCGGTCAATCGGCTTTGCAGGGTCGGCTGGAATAATCAGACTATCATCCACAGTTCTCCATACCAGATCTGAATAGGTAGACACGTCTTTATGAGAATACGGATACGGGAAATCAGAGAATAAACCCGTCTACAGTACCTGTATCACTTGTGGCATTCTCCCGTTTGTCAAGAATTAAGCACTGCCGATCTACAATTTCGACCTCTCGAGCCACATGAACGGCCGTCAAGGGGTTATCGCCGGTGATCATGACACACTGTGCATCAAAACAAGTCAGCAAAAAAACCTGTGGATGATGTGTTCAAAAGATAGAACTTACCCGATGAGATGAGTCAGCGAGCATTTTCAATGTCTCGATCGCATCCGGCTTCAGAGGGCAAGTGAAAACCAGAAAACCGGCAAACACAAGATCACGCTCGACTTGATCCCGTGTGAGGTCATTCAATTTACCGACCCCACTGATATCCATAAATTTGTAAGCCAAGGTCAGTACACGGCTTCCACGACGCGTGTAGTACTTATAAGTATCCTCATAATGGGATGGGACCTGAGCTATCATTGTCTTAAGAACTTCAGGTGCGCCTTTGACAGAGACCATAGTTTTGCTTTGTCGATCAGGCATCATGACCGTTGAGACAGTAGACATCCGCTTCAGCAGTGACGAAAACTGAAACCTGCGACGAATTTGAATCGACGCGCGATGGAGGGGCTCAGTCGAGGATGGGAGAATAGTGTCTCCTAGATGTGGTAGAACCTAGGTACGTCAGATGTGATCGGAAAGGGTTTGAAAAGCTAGTCAATTTGCACCTTTAGTCAAATTCCACCCAGCAGCATCGATTGTTGTTTTTTCCATGGGATCACCGATGACACCATCTTCGAGGAGTACAAGAGCATGGGCTGAGGCGAGTGTAAGTGTAGTCTCTAGATTAGTTTGATTGAGCGGCACGAGTCGCAATAAGTCCTGCTGACTACAAAGAAATGAAAATCAGCTTCATTAATGGCCTACTCATTTGCGTGCTCGATGACGATGCTCACTCGACCCCAACCACACCTTCTACCATGAGGTCTTCGCCGGTAATTGTTCCGGTTTTGTCGAAGCAACAAATATCGACCCGACCCGCGGAAGGAATTCTGAAGGGCTCCGTGCAAAAAATCGCTGTCAAATGAGAAACTGTAAATGGACAACATCTAGTGGACTTCACAAATGATTGAAAAATCACTGACCATATTTCGATAGCGCAACCAACGAAGCATTCACAGCCATGGATAGTTCCATAGGCAATTCTGGTGGCACGACCGAAGTGATGATGATGACACAATCCAAGAGGAGCTTGGAGCGCTTGAGGTTGCGCTCCACTCCCTTGACCCATACGTAACGACTTGCAATGATGGCAAAGAACATGAGGAAAGCCAAGAAGAGAAAGCTCTCAAAGTTATTGGCCGTGACTTTTTCAGTGGAAAAGATCATTGTCCGGACCAATTGACCTTGAGTGGTACCAAATCCTGTACGTAAAACGGTAGCTAGACAACCACCATCGGGTGTAGTGATGTGTTTTTGACCTTTGACAGCCTCTTGAGGTGTCACCTGTAAAATCTTTGTACCACCAAATAGTCCTGAATTGCGATCTGCACCGAGGAAATCCAAGCGATCTGAACCAGTCCTCAACTCTACAGATTCCTTCAAGAGCGGAGTTGATTCACCCGACAACATCGCCTCACTTGCAATACAAGAGCCACGTAGAAGCAGTAGATCGCATGGCACACCAGAATCTTCCTTGGTCCGCAATACTGACACAAGATCACCTGGTACAAGATCTTCGGTTGAGATCTCAGCCCACTTTCCACAACGATAGACCTGGATCATGTAAGGCTTGATCGACATTGTGCGAAACTCATTGAGGGTCCGAAGACGTTGGAAGACCGTAGTACATTCAAAGACAATGAGCATGAATAGTGTGAATAAGCTGTAATACCAATATTGATCGAGAAACCAAAGTCCGACGGAGAACATCTGAAAGACGAAGAAGGGTGCCTGCATGTGTTCACCCAAAAGCTCAAAGAAGGTCGGTACGGGGATATTGAAAGTGTTTTTGCCATAGAGTTCCTTAGTCAAAGCTAGATCTGTCTCTGTAGCAATTCCGGTAGTACTATTAAAAGTGGCTAGAGTAGGGTTCTGGTCTGAAGGGTAAGCCAACAAGTTGAAGGTGTTTGTTTCAGGGGTGTAGAAGTAATCGTCACGTTGGTATTCGATGAATAGAACAGTCTCCTTCTCGGGTTCACTCGCTTTGGAATTCGGCTTCTTGACAGTTCGCTGAGAGCGCTGAATGGGGCAGAAGGCAGGGCTACCACGATTAGGTTTAGGGATTGCTTTGATGATATTAGCTGATTGAATGTCTGCCACCTGAAGAAAACAACATAATATAAGATAATGGGTTTGAGAAGGTATGTCAGGAGATTCAAGCTGATCACCTGCCAACACGTTGCTACTTGTCTGATACGAGTACTCCAACGGGTAGAGAGCCAAGTCAAAGCATGTCCGCCAAAGACGGTGACACAAAGCAGAAAAGTCCATTCCTGAGACTCGCCATCAACTGATCGGAGATATTTGTCATACCTGAGGAAGTGCAGCTCAGTATTCGATTTTTTCGCAAATACTGGTAGAAAATCAAACTCACTCCACAAAATAAGCATAAGCTGCTAAAGGATATGCAACTAAGAATGGGAAGACGTAGAAATGTGTGATGAGAGGCCTAAGCTTCAGGAGAACAACGGAATCGATGTCTGAGGAGACTATCTTAGGAGCGGTAGAAGACCTGATCGAATCGGAGATGATTGTGAGTTATAAATCTAAGATTGAGGTGAAAGATAAAAAGAAAAGAAATAGAAAGAAAGAAAGAAATGCTGATGGACTGACATGATGATTTGAGTGAAGTATTCTTGAATTCGATCGAAGTGGTAAATCCACTCTTCCCTCTTGACCCGATTCACCTCAAAAATCTGATAAACTTACACAGATGTTACATGTGCATACATACATACGTGGCAACATATCACACATGCTCATGAGTCGTGACATGACTCTCAATTTTGCATCACAGAAGCTCATGGCTCAGGCTGACTCTGAGTCTCTCAATGGGTGTTCCAAATCTTCAAGCTGAGCAAATTTGCAATATCAAGAAGGTAAGCCAAACTCATTCAGAGGTAGTCTGAAAGATCATGATTGAGTTCATGTTCACGACTTCATGCTACATTGTGATGCGCACACGGCAGATTGTTGCACGATGTCCAAACTTGCAATGCGACCCAAAACCAACCAGCTTGAACGATTGCCATGACATCGATGGTTGAAAGAAGCCTTGGTAATCAAAGTCACTGAACTAGTCTTAGCTAGTCAGAGTCTGACTCCGACTCTGACCTTCAAGTTGCGTAATTAGTTTTCAATCTCAAGAATATATATGTCCATCTCGCGATCACTGACTTTCTTTCATGACCCCTCGTCACTTGACTCGTTTCACATTAGTCTTAACACCGCCAGCGGTATACATTTGTTTATTTATTTATTTCAAACTGATTTATTTCAATCATCCTTGGTATTTTAACAATCCATCCTACTTCTGTGCCTCTACCTTGCACTCCACATATCATCGCCAAGCGCGGACGACAAACTTCCTTAAGCCAATCAAAGGGTGAAAGTAAAAGATGATTAGTCCCATGCTCAATCAACCTAACGCCTTGACTTGGCCTTCCCCAATTAATAATCACAACTCAGGTGCTCCTCATCAATCCAATCTTACTGACTTTCCTTCCACGAGCTCCACGTCCGGACTGAAAATGGCACCCAATAGGGTAATTCTTTATTCCTCAACTTACAAAACCCCTTCCATACCATCACTGACATCTATAAAAGTCGCATATGTTCCTAGTACCGTTGCTTGTGGTTTACCTATTATCTTACATCCTGTTCGTTGGCTCACCTTCGTAATCATAGAATCGTGACTAATTTGTCCATTTTGTATTACGCATCTCAGGCAGTTAGGCTTCCTGGGACGCGGAATGAGCATTTGTTACCGCTGTAACGCTGCGTGGTTTTTCAAGAAGGATCAACGTATGATGTATTCAATATGGCATCAAACTTCACAGATACCCACTAATCCTATGATCTGATATGTCAATCTTTTCTTCCACACACTCAGGCGGCTTGATTTTACCCAACACTCGCTTTTTGATTTCACTCTGCAATATTTTCTTCGTTATTACTCAGTTCACCGATACTATCTTTCTTGTGATGAGCGCATTGGGACCACCTGTGAGCAAATTCGCTTACTCCATTGATTTATCAGCAATGTCCATTTATCAATTACTATATGCTCACTGCTCTCTTATGCTCAATCAGCTCTACGCAGAAAGATACCGCATATCTGGTTTTGTATGGTTCACTTTATGGTTATCTGGATGGTACGTTCATTGTTCTCAAAATCTCTCAGAATCTATACTCATGTTCATATCATCTCAGGATGCTTTTGTGGGGCATTGCTGCATGTTCTATCGTGATTGCTTATAAAGGAGGCGGATTTGTCGCGAGAGTGTCATCAAATCCAGCAATGTCCAAGCTATTCAACACATTTTTCATTGCAGTCGCAATCTTTGTCACTATCAGTGAGCCATGCCCATTAGTGTTACATCCATGCGAAGATTGCTGACTACTCTGCTTGTATGTTCACAGCGCACATAGTGACATTCGTTTTGACCGTTGCAAAGCAGGTGGCCCTCGCTTCACAGATCCAGATTGTTCTCTCTCAGCCGTCAGGCTCAGCGACTTCTGAGACAGCCCCAACATCGATAGCTCAACGGATCCATTCCGCAATGGAGCTCGCATCAATTAGGGTATGAGTCATTTTCCTGTCTCGATCGCCCCTTCTCGCTCATGATGTATGATTCTGCCATCCAATCTTCCAATTTCCAAATCAGGCAAGCTTTCGGGAAGTGATCAGATTGATCTTCTATGTATGTCACTTTTTAGCAGCGTATATCTAATCATTGACCTCGCAGCTAATCAAGAATTGAAACATAGTTGCGACTCGCTTGGTCTTTATTTTTGCTTGCGGTCAGTCTGACCTCCCTCAAGTCTTTCCCCAATAAAGTCTTTATCCTAAAGCCCTTTGTACACCACCTTCTGTAGCTGCTGGTACCACTTGGAATCAGTCTCATAAGAATGTTGCAAAAAGTAAAAAGTACAACCCAAAGCGAGAGATCGGGATCATGTTTTCAAGTCATCGATTGGGAATCAAGCACTCGCAAGGGGTCCAAGAGCAGTGAAAAAACATTAACCTTAGAAGAATCTAGTGATGATTTGTCACTATTCAGTAAGTCTTCTAACAAGCCTGCAAATCTCGGAAGCCAAAAAACTGGGACTATCACAAACGTTGCTTTGGTCTTCCTACATATCTTGGTACGATTTTATCCTTTTATCTATGTGCTACATTTCACATCTTTTATCAAAAAAGCCGTTCACTTACTTCTTGTGACTGGAAATCAGATCTATGTATTGATTGTGATAGGCTTCGCTCCGTCCCTACATTCTTCGCAACAAAACCTTCAAGAAAAAGCAGAAGCATTAAAAAAATTAGCTTATGTTTCAAAAGGACTATACGCTATTGTCGGTCTTTGGTCTAGTTGGATATTCCTACGTCTAACACGTGAAATCCAATCAGGAGAGAATCGAGAAAAGAGCATCAAAAAATCTTCTCTTACCCCTCATGGTTCATCACCTAGTTATCGTTCGAATAGGCCTTCTATTCACACCAGACCAGGATCATCACCTACGCATACTTTCAAGCAGCTATCTTTGTTTCAATTCCCTGGCAAGTCTGACCTTACACCACCATGATAACATTTCGAGAAATTATTATAATACACTCAATACTAGATTCTACTGAAACCAAAATTCATTTAAAGAACCTTTAATAATTTGTAATTACATTATGTATATCAAGCAAAAATGTAGAGATTTTCATCACTCTCGCAAAGCTCTTATCAGCATACAGGTTTCAAACATCCACCCTGCTTAATAGCCCATTGAATCCCAAACTTCCTGGTGCAGGCAGTGCACTTGGCCAGCGAAAGCTCCAATTTGAGAAATGCACACAACTCCTGGTCCCTTGATCAGCTACATGGACAGGTCCTATCAATCAAGTACATTGAAACAATTGAGTCATAAATGATTCTTATAAAATTCGGTCACATTCTTTACTTTCTTGAACATACCTTTTGAAGAGGCTTCCAGATGACAAAGCAACATCTGTGTCAGCGAGCTACAGTTGAGCCAGCCACGACATGATGAAGTTGCATATCAACTTCTCAAAACAAAGGTAATCAGACCATTAAAATAGCTGTACTGCCTCCTGAGGCAATGAAAACTAAAGAGTGACAATCATTTTGTACTGAAACCACTCATTTTATCCGTTCATTACATTTGGTGACCTCCCAGTTTCCTTCATGAGGTACCGCTAAATATATCCTTGGTCCCTCAAAGGATATAAGGTCTCAATCACCTACCCGTCGTCATTATGCATAGGCTCATTTTTAGATTGTACGGATCAAGTAAATGAGAAATTCATGTATCCATCCGCCCCTCTTGAAACGCTTATAAGTAGCTTATATATAAGTTTCATTCCAAAATGTTGGGTGTACTGGAAGTCGATTTGATTAGAGTTATAAGGTGTTCTTCTCATTGCATTTAATCTGCTTCTCATGTATCAGAAAATGTGCGAAACTGTATTGCTGTATATAGAAATTAAAGAATCGACAAAGTATGTGTTTAAAAAAGTGTAGCCTGATTTGTTTTGCAAACTGAAAGTCATAAGCATCTTCAAGCTATATGAAGTTGACTGTAACCAAGCAGAACGACTTGATACCGATTCTGATTATTTATGACATGTGTTCAAGTTGTGTGAAATTGCCAAGTCTTGTCCAGCAACGTTCTTTTCGCAGTGCGATCTTAGTCTGATGGTGGTGGATGGTGAGTCGTGACGTTATTTTGGTGCGTACGGATCGCAGGGGGGTTCCACTCATGCTTGATAAGTTTAACTCATGCTGCATGTAAGTCATCCTCTGTGGATATGGCGGCATGATGATTAGCAAATGTATGTACAGCAGCCATTCTCATCACACAAGACTTCATATGAGTTTAGGAAAAGAAATCTTTACGAATCTCAAGGTCAATGAAAACCGATTAATAACTGACTAGACTATTGTGTGATTTGAATGCCAGGGCTTCTCTCAACCTACAATGACATCGCAATCAACCAAGCCGGTCAATTTTTACAAGCCACATTGAAAGTTTTGACTTCCTATGATGTATCTGATTCTGCCTTGAGCGTAGCATATACTATTATTTCTTTGTCAAAGATTTTCATTCTTACTTGGCATTTTACCTTGCTATCAGTTTGTATCTCGTCAGTACCATCGTAATCTGAGATTCCACCTTCAATTTAATAATTAAATCCAATCGTCAAGTGTGAGCACCTTGACTATTCACCCAAACCAAAGGAGAAACGAAACAGATGCAAGGTCAAATCATTAATCAACGCTACGCCACCAATTGGCCTTTCTCAAGCAATTACGACATGATCAACAACTCAAGCATCCTCAACTCATTCAATTCTACTGACTTTTCCTCATTGCTCCCCGAGTCAGGACTCACGGAGATCGACTCATCTAGGGTAAGTCTTGATTTTTCGATATTCAAATCACCTTTCATAATATCTAAATCACTAATATCTTCGAAAGTCGTATGTATGGGTAGTACCGATGCTTACGGTCTATCTATTATCCTACATTTTGTTCGTTATTCCATCGTTATATTCCATGTAATCGTGATTGATTTGTCAATTTTCATATCGCGCGCTAGGCAATTAGGCTTTCTAGGACGCGGGGTGACCATCTGCTACCAGCTTGATGTTGGTTGGCTTTTTAGGTGGAATCAACGTACGTGGTATCGAAGCCATATGAGATAAATATTCGGACATACTCACTAATGTCTCTTTCCTTCTACAAATGTAGGTGGCTTGATATTGCCCAACACTCGCTTTTTGATTTCGCTCTGGAACATAATATTTGTCACCATCCAGTTCACTGACACTATCTTTCTCGTGATGGGCGCTGTAGGACTCACGGTTCGCATATTCACTTGCTTCATCAATTTATCAGCACTGTCCTCTTATGAATTCTAAACTCGCACTACCTGGTCAATCAGCTCGTCACAGAAAGATATCGAATATCTGGTTTTGTATGGTATACTCTATGGTTATCTGGATGGTACGTCCATTATTATTGTTTGTAAGATCCCACAAATCATACACTCATGTTCATCATAATTTCAGGACGCTTTCCTGGGGAATTGCTACATGTTGTTTTGTCATCGCCCATCAAAAAGGCGGATTCATCGGTAGGATGGTATCAATACAAGTGACCTCGAAAATTTTCAACGCATTTTTTATTTCAGGCGTAATTCTTATTACTATCAGTGAGATATGACCATCCCTTTCGAAATCACATGAATGACACTGACTCATCGACAACAATGTGTGCACAGCACATATAGGGACCTTCGGTTTGATCGTTGCACAACAGCTGGCTATGACTTCGGAGAAGGGCAGGCTTTCTCAGCTTTCAGGCACTTCGTTCCCAGACGCGGAATCAAGATCTCAGCAGTACATATCTTCCGTCAAACTCGAATCACTAAGTGTTTGAGTCATTCCCTACCTTGATCGCCAACGCCCACTAATTACTCATCCTTATGCAACACTCCTTTTTCATCCTGTTCAAATTAGGCAAGCTTTTGGAAAGCTGTGCAATGGATCTTCTATGTACGTAACTCTCTTTTTAACATTGTATTCAACCACAATCGCAACTGATTGAGAGTCAATTTATAGGTGCGGCTTGGTTGGTCGGTGTTAATGCTTGTGGTGAGTCTGAATCTGAACAAATCATTGTTGAATAAAATCTTTATCCTGAAGAATGCTCTACTTCATCCTATATAGCTGCTGGTACCACTTGGGATCAGTCTCATCAAAATGTTGCAAAATTTGAAAAGCACAAAAGACAGCGACACGCCAGAACCTAGTCTTGAATCGCCTCATCGAAAGGCATCGAAGACCATTCTTCAAATCGAACCTCTGCGCAAAAATCGCTCTAGTAGTGATATCGTAAGTATTCATAACCCCTCCAACAAGTCTGTACATCTCGGAAGTAAAAAAAGTGGCACTATCACAAACGTTTCCTTGGTCGTTCTACACATTTTGGTATGATTTCCATCTATCCTCTTGCATTTTGTCATCTCATCAAAGTCATTAACTTGCCTCTTGGGATCTGAATGAAGATCTACGTATTGGTTGTAATAGGATTTGCTCCGGCTTTCCAATCGTCGCACAAGGACATCCAAGACAAAGCAAAAGAATTAAAACAATTAGCTTACCTTTCTAAAGGACTTTACGCCATCGCTGGTCTATGGTCGGGTTGGATTTTCTTACGCCTCACACGTGAAATGGAATCAGAAAAGAAAGTAGAATTGGATAGAAATCTCTCTATCTCTACCAATCGAGGTTCATCACCTGACCATCCCTTCGATCAATTATCCTCGTACCGATTTCCCGTTAATAAAGCTTCTGTCACACCACCATAACATTAAATAAATACTCATGATACACGCCTTAACTATATAAAACCTCCTATAATCAGAGTCTGAAACCTTTACCCTAACAATTTTGTAATATGTCGATATGTATGTTATATTAAAGAATAATGCACAGATTACCCAACATCGCAGATCATAAGTATTGAGGCTGTTCAACAATGACTACCTTATCCTTACCGCACCTTGGATTAAAATCCCAAATATTGGAGAGACTTCCAGATGACAAAGCTAGACCGACGGAAGCTGGCTCCAGGTAAGCTAGCCTTGACCCAAACACTTCGGAATCAGAAACACCGGAGCACTTATCCTCAGGAGAGGCAGACTGAAGAGATCAATGGAAATCATAAAGGGTTTTCTGCGAAAATAAATTTGAGCATCACAATTGCTTACAGGGTCCTTCATTGCACCTTTTGGAAATGTAAATCAGATCTGACCATTCAAATATGTTCACAATCATTACTTATCATCATGACCTTTCTGAATCCATCTATGAACTGAAATAGAGCCCACTCTGTTCATAGACTCAATTGAGACTCGTATCTTGATTTAAATCTCCTGATATATCCCACTTTGACATTTCACTCCAGAAAGATTGATAATATCAAATTCACAATTTTATATGACTTGGGCACTTGTGTAGTTTTGTACTAATCTACCATGCTAAAACTGTGCAATCATGGCTTGGATTGGTAGCAGAAAATTGAATTATGTAAGCAAACAATGTGGCAAAATGTGGCAATTGGTCAGCTATGCAGACTATCTTTATAAGATGCAGATTTCTTGGTGATCTCCATGAATTGCTTGCTATTGGAAAATATAAACTACAGCTGAATAAGTGAAAAATCATACATTCCATAGATCATGTGATCTATAGAGTCAACTTTGTTCAATGAGCTTTTCAGGAAAACTGAGAAATGGGAACTGAGAAACTTGACAATGCTGAAGTACTTTGGACTATGTCTGACAGAGTTCTTTCTATACTTATATAGTCTTCCTTCTTGCTTACGATACAAGCTTTGAATGGAATGTAAAGGCAAGTAAGGACTACAGTCAAATCTGACTTACAACCAGATACTCAAAAACACATCTGCCACAGTTGTGTTGTGTGCATGTCAGCAACCTGTGATAGGTACACAACTTTGTGACATAACTTGTGAGAGCTTCGAATTTATGAACGATCAGACCTTACCCAAGAAGTTGATTGATACAAACATATCACATGAGCCTTGACATCTTGAGTCTTGCCAAGATTCATGAAAGTTGCCACCGAAAAAGCCTGAAGTGTGCTGATCATGCAAGCAGCAAGCTCAGCAAACCCAGGAAATTTGAGCTGAGGCTGAAATTCGAGAAACACCGCGAGAAAGTTTAGAGATGTTGATCCACTTTTACAATACAATCTGTCAAACAGTGTCAAACCTTCTGTGGACCAGCTTTTCGTTTCATCAGCTCAGGTGCAAAAGCGGTGTCCACTGCGTGAACGGAAGCGTCCTTTGAACTTTCTTTCCGCATGAGAGGGACAGAGAGCTTCTGGCTTCATCGGTTGCACGTTTGCGAACTGCAAAGTTTTTGGATGCCTGACCTAATCATCAATCTATCTCGGTCTATCTCACATCTGAAGTTGGTCCATGTGTCTTCGGTTCCTCTCATCGTCTGACCACTGTTCAAATTGATGTGTTGTTCTCTTAGGTCGACTTTTATTTCTCGTTTCTATCAACCCACAAGGTCAATTTGTGGTCTCTTTGAATTTCGAGCGTGTTGTTTGTCTTTGTTACAGCTCAAATGAATATTCTCAAATCACAAACAGCCTGTCGTCTTCAAACCCTGATCAGTCTTGCCCTCGGTGTCTCGAGGCAAGTCATCTCTTTCCAAAACTCTGCCGTCTCCTTACTCTTCCTCACAAGCATTATTTCAATCGCTGATTTTGGGGTCATCGACTATCAGAATAGCCGCTGGGGATGATCTTGCTCCCTCTCCCGCTTCATGGTCTGTTTCAGAAAACGAAGACCTAAAAGTGACTGCGAATGCGAGTATGAGTTTTCATACTTACAAACGTGAACCATATGATACACTGAACTTGACAAGTTACACGGCTGTAGGTGAGTCATAGCGAGTAGACCTTTCATCTCAAGTTTAGGGATCGACGTATATCCCGATGGTGATTTCATCTTGAAAAATTTCCCGTGCCCAGTGATCTTCGGGGCCTCTGATTGTGATGATGCTCATCCTCGTCCGCAAAAATATAATAATACTCTGCGAGGTTAGTGACTCACAATCCTCTTGATTGTTTTTGATTTAATTTGGCTCGGAGGAGGAAGGGTTGTAATTGAAGTTGTGCGGTGATCTTTCGTAGGTCGGCCTTATTTCAATGGAAGATTTACAAACGGCCCTGTTTTCGGTGAATACCTGAAGAAAGGGATCCTAACAGGCAAAAATATCACTTTACTAAATTATGCCTAGTGAGTGAATACGATAATCAATCCTCTCGCAACTACAAAGTGAGACGAATTTTTTTCAAACTAACATTCCCAAAAATTTGTGGATAGCGGAGATGCAACAGTCAGCAATACACTCGTGAATGTTGCCGCACCCGACACGGCTTCACAGACCCATTCTTATATCAATGACGTGACTCAACATAGAGTTCATAGAGAAGGTGTAAATGGACAAGGACGAGTTTTACATATATTCTGGATTGGGATCAATGATGTGGTTCAAATTTGGCAAGATGTGATAACAAATGGCACATTTTCAAACCTTGACTCTCTTACTACAAACCCTTACATCGCAGATCGGTCAGAAAAACATTTTACGATTGCGCGTCATAGGATTAACGCTGAGGTTGCGGCTCTGATGAGTCAAGTGTCTATGATTCGAAAAAATCAGGAAGTCAATAAGATCCCTGGCGACCTTTTGATCCTCACTTTACCACCACTTGAAATGCTTCCCAATCTATTCTACCACTCTCGTGAATTAGCTTCAAACTTCACCTTACGCGACGCCAACCTAGCTTCAAGTGCAAAGATATATCAAAGATTTATCGGTGAGCTTACTGCCAAATACAATCGGGTGAGTCACGATCTACACTTGTGCGGATATCAGCGAGCCTAGAGACTAAGATCAAGAAATCGTTTCCCAAGGGCATTGCTGCTGGTATCGAATCCCTACTTTCTGACGCTAGACCGCAAGTAAATGAAGCTTTTGTGCTGTCAGGACGACCAACATTTACCAGGACGTTTGACACAGTTGGACTCTGGCATTATGTTCATGCTAATCCAACCGAAGTGAGTCACCAAAACAAGTCTGAATTGTTCACCAGTTTCACTAACAGGTTTTCAAATTCAGTTTAATTTCGAGAATGTCATTGACGCCTGCTGGAACAGTACAACAGGCGGAATTTGCAATCATCCTGATCAGTATCAGTATTGGGTAAAATTTACTTGTTTTATCATCTCGTTTCCAAGTTTGAGCTGATATCTGCTTCTATGCTGGGTCTTAGGATACACTTCATCCTACGACTGCCATGCACAGATTCCTGGCACAGGATATTGCAATGGCTTGTAACTAATGTAGTTTCGATTCTCAAGGTTTTGGTGGGCATCGAATTTTAATATTGCCAGCGTTATCTCTTTAAAGCCGTTTTGGCTCGTGTACCAAGAGGCTAGAGCTATTCGTAGTCGCAAGAGTTTGTCTGTTCAGCGATAGTCCATTCGTTTGATAGGTACATTTTTAGTAAGCAATGTTGATGAATCATTCATAATTCAATGTCCAGCTTCCAAAAAACATTGATGTGCTCAGCATAAGTCAACTTCATTGAGACATGAAGGAGCTCTGTCAACAGGATACTGTCCTAAATCACTGTGATTTGGTCTTGGATTTGAACTGATCTACATTCACAATCACTGCCATCAGAGCCGTACCTCCCTGAAATTCTTGAACAAACAAAATGAATCCTAATCTTCGCCACCCCAACTCGTTTATCCAATCAAATCCCTAGCCACCGATTCAACTGAAGGACCTGTACCTCTAGCTGTAGGCTTTGGTATTAGTTATTCGAATTAACATTCTACTGAAATGCGGTTCTTCAATCCCTTCTCCCATCTACAATCAAATTGCAACATGATTTTGGAGTATGATATACTAGACCACATCCCTATTTGCACGCTTGAAGCACTAAATTTGTGGTCGGTCAGTACTTATTTTACCCAGGTCATGTTGAATTTGTGTACAATATAATTTGCGTTCCTGTATCCAGGCAAGTGCAACATAGACGCAACATTGGTCCACCAGTATCGTTCAAGTTGTGTGGTTTCTAATTTCTACACTCTCAATGTCTACAATGACAGTGAAAGCAGGCTGCCATTGCTGCACAACGTCTGGCTAGGCCCATTGGGCCACTACCGTGTCCGTGAAGACAATATACAGTACGCGTTGAGCCATAGGACTAGTCATGCAAGAGTATCACAACCTACCCATTGATGGCAATGCTTACCATGAATGGACACAGTAGTACATATAACAGAGTGTTGAAATTCATTATAATGCATACCTTTGCGGCAGCACATAAAGATGTACTGTGTGCTCATCAATTCAAGTACATAATACCTTGATGAGCTGTACATATGGTTTCATTTAGGTTTAAGCTATTTCTATATTGTCTGTAGAAATAATTGAAAAATGCTTCAAGGTACATTGCATCTGCTGCTATTGATGGTGATACTTATTTCAAGTTATCATTCAGACAATTCAAGTCAACAGCACACTATATGGGATTGGAAAGCTTTTTGTAAGTATAACTTGTTGGTCAGGAGATGTTTGTATCATGATGTGCGTCTATACATGTAGATGTGTCTCTGACCACCTATGACACCACGGAAATTAATGGGTTCAAACCCCAATTGAAGGAAGTGGTGGTGACAGAGTACACAACTTTCTCCAATCGTGAATTGTGTTTGCAATTGGTTCACATTTAGTCCACTGGATACACTCTGTAATCACATCACAAGCTGACTGTCACATGAAACCACACAGCAAAGCCTTCAGGTTTTAGTCCTTGATACACACGTTAATTCTCACCAATTTAAACTTTAGTGTTCTCACAAATAGTCTAGCTGTTGATTTACCAACAAGTTGAGCTCCATTTGGCCAAGGGAGCCACTTGCAACTGTGTTGGATGAACTCTTCCTGGTACAACCACACAACATCACTCAACAAGCTCTTCAAAACCGTAATTGTGGTGTCAATAGCACTATTGTTCACACAGTTGGCCATGATGGTACTGTGGAGGTTGGCTTTGATAGATTGTCAGATACATGTATCAAGACCGGCAGATTGGGCATGGCTCAAGAAGTGCTATCAAAGGGTGTACAGAAAAGTAATTGTGAACCAATTGCAAACACAATTTGCAATTAGAGAAATTTGCAGACTCTGTCACCACAACTTTCTTCAATCATGTTTCAAACCTATTGAATCCCGGAGTGTGATTATAACATACAATCTTAAAACTCTTTGGCGGGCATGCCTGCCTCTGCTCTAGTATAACTGTAGCCTTGTACATGGCTCATAACACTCTTACCAAAGGTAAGAAAACCTCTCTTTTACACATATCTCTTCAAGTATCCTTCATACCTCATAAAAATTCTCAAACTCATGTCAAAACTTTATCAAACCTCAGTCATAACAAATTTGTCAAATATTGATACTCTTTATGTGCAGCTTTAGTAGAATCTTGGACAGCAAATTCTGAAATTAAATATTGACCTCAATATCATTCATCATATTCAAAAACAACGGTTTTGCTGGTGAAGTGGAAACAAGTCATGGGTTGGTCCAGTCATCTGTAGATTCTAGTGAATTAAATGAAGGAAGTCTTGAGTTATCTTCATTCACACCATATAAGTTACTTGTTGAAGAATCTACAAATGAGTTGATAAACCCATGACTTATGGCTTCTTTCCACTTTACTAGTTGATGAACTATCATGATGTTTAGTTTCACTGATAAACAAACAGACATCTTTTCCAACCAAAAGGAACTATTGTTTTTGACAATGGTATTGATCTTTATTTAATATCAAAATTTTGTTGAAGAACATTTGCTGTCTAGGTATTCTACTTCTGTTAAATCTACACAAAAGTTCCAATATTTGAGGGTTCATGAAGACACAGCATTGTTCAAGTTTTGATATGAGTCTGGGCATAGTAGGTCAAGGGGCATAAATTATGTGACAGGTGACTAAGTCGAGACGTTCTGATGTTCTTGAGATTGTCTGAGGTAGAGGGTGTGTAAGATACCCATAGCCATGATCTAGCAATCACATATTGATGTTAATTTTTGTTATAATCAGATAGACAGTGTTCATCAAGCGTAACCTTCTATTTGTCACGACATCTCACAGATTGTGGATGTCTTTGATCAGTCTCACCTCTCCATATTAGGCAGCTGATTTTATGTGATGATTGCATTGTACATCAACCCAGAATAGGTAACAACGAAGCTTCAGTGTTGTGCTGTTTACGTCTTCAAAATGTCGGAATAAGGTGATCAATAATATCTTCTCCAAGGAGTTTGTTGACATGACTCGGAGTCGTGTCTCAGTTCAATATCTTTTTATGTATCGTAGAATTGATGGTCTTTTTCTCCGATGTTAGGATCAGAAAATCAAATTGTGCCCAGCACTTGTGCATGAGGTAATTCCTGTCTTTGTATATAGATCAAAGAAAACCCATCTTGAATCAAGGCTGCGAGACCGATCGAGTCAACAGGGACAGTTCTATCAGTCGGATCTGAGAGAGAGAGTGCTGATCAAGCCCATCAACTGCTGGGATTCCAGCGTCATCTCCGGAAGGAATAGGTAGGCTCCGAACCTCCATGCACTCAGAATCTGTATTGGCCAGTGATTGAAAGAGAGACAGAGAGATCCATATCATACACAAGGCCCGGGCATGTGATATCAACAGTAGGCAATCAGTCTTTGTCGGACAAAGTGGAAAGCGCATTCGAGATCACTGACTGCAACATGAGAGGAATTGCTCCCATGTCCTTGGTTGCCGGACAGTCGCGGCAAGCAACGCGGTCGATTTCATTGGGCCGCTGAGTAGAATCCGAAGAGTCCGGGCCAATGGTGGGACCAAGGTAGGATCATAAATCTAGAAGGATCGAGGACCCGTCAGTGCACTCCATGAGTTGAGTCATTGTTTGAGCATACCACATCGGCGGCCAGGATCAGATTGGGTTTTTCATTCCTCCACTCAGTCGGCGCATCCCAATCTAGAGTGCGGACCAGTAAAGAGTTGCCAGTTGATGGTTTGTCTGGTGCATGGAAACAACGTTGATTAGCCAAGTTCACCACTGAGAAAATGATTCTGGATTTTTCCTAATGACCTTTGCGATTGATCGAGGGAAGGTTTGAGACATACATGACGCATTACAGAATTTAACTCACTCAATTCCACATTTCGATTGAGCCTTTCCAGCACCAGTAGATCGACGTCAGTGAGGTATACAGTTGCCCCCACAGACAGCTGGTGAGCTACGATCCCGACGAGACCAGTACCGCTTCCGAGCTCAAGGACCACCTTCTGATGTGAGAGTACATCAGGGTTGGAGATCAAATGATTGGCTAGACAGACACTGTAACATTATCACGAGAATCCGATAAGTAGCTCGACTGGTGATGAGTAGTGGATTCTTGTTTTCTCAACTAGCCTTGCTCCCCAGCTCCTTAAGCCAGTAGTTCCCTTACTGATGCTGGCCTGATAGAGCGAGAAAATCCTCACGAGATATCATGAGTCCAGATTGCACCAGAGTGAGCGCAATAGTGGGTCCCCTCACCTTGTCCTCCATCAGCGTTACACACTTCCATTGTGACCTGTTGTTCAATGGGCCATAAAAATACCGGCGTATGTCTACTGTCGCGGGTTGATGAGAGCGCTGAAGAGATATATAATGCAGCAATATCTGTTCGTCTAACCCTTCGTCCTTGTCGCGCGATTTTATAAAAGCTTCATGTCAGATGAAATTCGAAGACTGGCAAGGCCCGTATGCTTCAGCGAAGTAGAACTGGCATTGCACGCCACGTTACTCTACCGCCGCACGAACAACATTGAGCAGTGATATATAGACATACTTCCGGATCTGGCGAGATACCTTCTGCCGAAGTGTTCTCTATGACCTGGATGATACGTTTCCAAAATGCGTATTTCCATCTACACGCCTGCGTGTCTAAACTGACCGCCGAATCTGGCGCAACATCAAGCGGACTCAGCGCCGCGAAAAGTTCTGCTTGTTGACGCGTCCGAACGAGATACTTTTCTGTCGGGAAAGGCGGGGATGCCATCATTCTTGGGTTTGAGGGCGAAAGGGCTGCATAAAGCCGAACTAAGCGTGACAGGTCTAGAGCGCTGTAGTCTGATGACTCGTCCATATTGTCGATAGAGGTCGATGGACTGAGATAAGTCACCGATTCGCGGAATTCGCGCGCGCAGGTTTTTTCCAGGCAGTGCACAGGAAGTTGGAACGGCCCCGCAACTTGTAAGGACGAGAATCACTCTTGTTGTGTTCTTCGGGGTCTCCCCGGGCAGAGTTGGATCAAATTTCACGGGTTCATGTCCTTGGAAAACTGGTGCTGTAGATAACCTCTCTAGAACACGAATTGATGATCAAAGCCAACAGCTAAGAAAGGTCTTTGTTGCTCGACACCTGCATTTGTTGGACTAAAGCCAAACAAGAACAAACTTGGTATAAGATAAAAAGAGAAAGAAGAACTCCGGCAAAAATCTTATAGTGAGATTGTAAAGGATGCAGTCAGATGAAAAAGAAAACAAAACATCCAAGACTGCGACAAGAGTCAGGTTATAAAGCAAAAGCAAAAAAACAAAAATGAAATGATGTCACAAGCTATAATGATGTAGTAGTACAAATTAGGAAATGTGACATAATGGAAAACAAATGATGATAGAAAAATGCCTTAGTAGTAAATTTATTTTACAAGGCACTGGGTGGCCAGCCAACCTCTAGCACTGTCTTATGGCTCCCCTTCTTCTCCTGGATACATAAAGTCATGTCATTATGTATCACCTGCTTACTCCCATACTCTCTCTCCACCCCATAGGTACCAGCTCAAACTGTGTGTGTTGTCTAGATGGGGCTGAGACCCTGGATCTACTGATGAATCATGATCTTGTGTTGAATTATGTCCTAATCCTGTTTTATATAACTTGAAAATCTCAGCATGGTTATCTCCAGCCACTGGAATGTGATAAGCTTGACTAATTTCCTCTTACAGAGTGGCCATGTCTGGTCCCAAAGGGGCAAGGGTTCATGACTAAACCCTGGGTTTGGCCTGAGCAAAGCAGGATTTTCAAGTACTTTTGCCTGAATTCCCATTGTGAGGACTCTAGACATTGTATAACCTCACTTATAATTGACCAGAGCCTCATATAAGCCTTACACACATTCTCGTGCCACCATTAACACCACTTTACTTGAGCAAAATGACAAAGTCAAGTTGTTGAGCTGTTGTAAGTCTTGCCCTTATTCAATACAAGGCCTACATGCACCCTTGACCTGTTTGAAATCACTTGCTCTTTGAGTCCAATTTCTTTCCAATGTTCAACTGTTGACATGCCAAATGTGGTAAGAGGAGACACAGAAGACCTTGAAGGAGATCCTTTTGAGTTTTTGTGAGGTTTTATCATTTTTTGAGCCCTCATGTTGGGGATTTAAGCAAATGTGCTCAAAATTTCTGCTGTGCTCAGGCAAGACCTGGCTTTTGGTCATAAGCCCCACTGTGATAATGGAAGTGGAAACTTTGGAAGAGGGGCTAAGCTAAGCTTAGTACATTATGTACGCTTCCTTAACCATTAGCTCAGCATAATCCATTCAATCTTATCTGCATATATTGCTTGGCCACACCTTTCAATGGCTTAGTCAGAACTGAACTTGTTGAAATAGTTTAATGGCTTGAATCTTGCTAAATACCAAATTCCTTTCAATCATTTTGCCTTTAATTCTCATCAAAATTTTCAAGATTGAGATTCACCGTGTCCGGGTAGTGTTCGCTCGTCGACGAGCGCGCACGACTTCCCTTTCTGCCTCAAAGGGAGTTGGTGTGCGCTCGTCGACTAGCAAATCCTACACAGACACGGTGATTGTGATATGTTTGTTGAGAGATAGCTACTATAATAATATGCTAGAATCCAGTGCCCAACATGGGGTGTGCATTGTTAGGCACTGGATTATGGTAACCAAAGTCTATTTTGGGTGTACAGGCTATTCCTAGCTTGATTATGTCACAAAGGCACCCATATTCCTGCACTGGGAATTTTCAAAAAGAATGGGGGGTGGTATGAGGTATTGAGGTATGGAAATTGGGGCTGGCTTAGTGATGGCTTCATCTCAAGTTGGTGTGCCACCCCATCAGGGTCTTGAGTTGGGCAGGTTTGTGCCACTATGTCTCTAAAATTTGGCAACTCAGACCTCAACCTGTCATGAATTCCAAACCATCACTCTGAAGATCTAGCAAAAGGATCACATGTGCCAAATAAATTCATATGCACAGTTCAAGCAGTGGTGCCTGTGGAACCCAAGATGCTAATTCAGTGTCAATGCACTCTTTCATGATTTTGGAGGCTTCTTCAAGACCCACATCAAGATTGAATAAATATCCAATCCATAGTCAACTACTTGTGTAACACTCTATTGCTCTTGGTGATAGTATCAATGATTCTTGGTCTGTACTGTTGGAACCAAATCTCCATTGTCATGATTCTTTATTTATTTCCATGTTATGTTCTCTATATATACACTGTGTGTGTCCTAAAATTACCAATTAACACAATGTAATTTGTCTAAGGTTTACTCACAACCTTTTGTTCAGATAAACCTAAACACACCTTGTATTGCTGCAGTTAGTTTATCAATTCCTGATCTGAGGAAGTTTTTCTTTTTTATCAGTATTAAACTTCCTCAACCATATCACAACATCATCACATTAATCTCTCCAGATCCATCCTATCCTTCAGGACTATTGACTGATAATTGGTTTGGTATTTATCTGATCAGGAATTTGATATTCCCATATGTACTACAGACATCTGCAGCCAATCAGAATGTTTGCTCAACAGTGGATGAGCTCCCATTGGAAGCCATATATTGGCAAGCTAGCTTCAACAGGACAGGGTATTCTTCCGCATGGCTCTGTTAATAATTGTTTTGTAAGATTTTCAACCTAGAACACAAATTCATTATGAATTATCACCTGCCGCCACTTCGATGCTAAGAAAGGGTTCATTGCAACATCATTTGAAGATGCATTGCTTCCAAGATGATATTCAGTGAGTCAATCAATTGTAGAATTTCCCTTTTGTGTGTCATGAAGATTCAACATGGTTTCATACCATAGTTTTACTACCAATTGAAGAGCTGAGGATGGTGAAGACCAGACTCTTTCAAGGTGGGATTTATGAGTATAGAAGGCATCCTTCCACAGCGTGTTGGCTTTAACAATGAAAGGATATTGAGTCCCAGATCCTGTGTTAAAAAAGTGCATCTCCAGCTTGGATGAAGTATTGTTGCCATCAAGAGGGTGTGTGCTGATGTTGCTTTAATCTTGGCAAGGTATTTCTTGATTCAAGTCAGCATTGTGTAATGCATTGGATAGATCAGAGAAGCTTTTGATTTATTAATAAGTTTTGACTCTAAGCAAGTTTGGTGTTTAAGGTACTCCCTGATGGCCATTTAACCAGTTTAGCCATCACCTTCCATCTTTTTGATTAGGTGTGCAAAATGCTAGAGAAAGGAGATTCATAAGGCCAAACAACTTTGTAGAGAAAAAAATGGTGTGATAACCTCAAGCTCTGGGTTGAACATCTTCATCAGCTTCCATTCATCTGGGGTGAAGGATATACAGAGGAAACATCCTTTGGTGGAGTTGATTGGGGGTTTTGTATATTTGTAGCTCAGAAATTTCATCATACTGCTGATCATTTTTGAGAACCTCATTGATAATCTGCATAGAGAAAAAAGATGAGTACCTTATCTGAACGCAATAATATAGGAATTGGGTGAGATAGTTGAACAAAATAAACTTGGTTCACAAGAATCCACACACATTTCCAGCTATCTCACTTGATGTTCCATTGTATGCCATAACCAGTGATCAGTGCGTCAAAAGAGAATTACATACTGCCTGCAGTTGCAGCCACAAGCCCTTACATAGAAGCTGATCTGGTGAGCTTTCAAATTACATGATCAAGCCGCATGGATAGACAGGTTGAGGAGCTACAAAAGCATGAATATGTCAGAGAAAAAAGAGCTGACCCACCAATCAATAGGCCATCTATATGCCAAGATGCTTGTTGGTCTGTTGTTGATGGTGAAATGATCAAGACTGGCTTGTGTGTAGTAGGAAGTAGCAATTGGAACACCACAGGTGTACTTCAGTATTTTATGTTGTTACCTATTTACATATTGTTGTAAATTTGTGCTTCTTTGCAGCTTGAATCCTTCATTGAACACCATTTTCATTACAACATCTTAGGGTCAGATCACAAGCAATTTGTCTAAGGATGTGGCCTTTATGTGAGTCATGCACAGATACACAAGTATGTCAATAGTCAGCTTGTGATCAGGAATGAGGGCTTTGAAATGGATCTGTATTTCAAACACACACACACACACACAAAACACACCAGACTACACAATCATAGAGAGAAAAACAGAAACTTCAAGTGAAATAAGAGACACACCAGTGAGTCATGCACAGATACCCAGGTACGTTGATAGTCAGCTTGTGACCAGGAATGAGAGCTTTGAAATGGATAAGGATCAAAGCTTGGTGCAGACTTGTTGTGATACTTATAG